AAAAATATTATGATAATTGTAACAATTTTCAATCCACAGCTAAAACTACTTTACCTGTATGTTCAAATGTTTCTGATGATGTGATACGTGATAAATTGAAACCCCCAAAATTGGTAAATTCTTCCTTTTTAGATAATTTGAATGTCCACCTTATGCATTTGTCCACAGAGGAAAGCCATAGATTGTCTCAGTTATTTGAGACATTTCCCTCTATTTTTGGGGACGTCCCCAAAGAAGCGAAAGTACCACCTCATGATGTAGACGTTGGTGACGCAAAACCCATTAAACAACACCCCTATAGAGTTAACCCGGAAAAAGCTGCTTTGATAAAAGATGAAATTGATTATATGCTCAAGAATGATATCATTGAGCCCAGTTTCAGCAACTGGAGTTCCCCATGTCTCCTAGTCCCGAAAGACGGTGGATCTTTCAGGTTTGTGACCGACTTTAGGAAGGTGAATGCGCTCACCAAAGCTGATTCCTATCCCTTACCTCGGATAGAGGACGTTATTGATAAAGTTGGTCAGGCTAAGATAATTTCCAAAATTGATTTACTTTCAGGATACTGGCAAATCCCCTTATCTGACCGTGCAAAAGAAATATCTGCTTTTGTAACCCCTAATGGTTTTTATAGATACAAACGCATGCCCTTTGGTATGCGAAATGCTGGTCAAACTTTCCAGAGGGTCATTAACTCTGTCATTGCTGACATAGACCAATGTGAGGCCTACATAGATGATATAGTTGTATTTTCTAATACTTTTGAAGAACATATTGTTCAATTGACTAACCTTTTTAGAAAATTGTCTGAAGTGAATTTTACTGTAAACTTACATAAAAGTGATTTCTGTAAAGCTTCAATTACCTATTTGGGTTATCAAGTGGGAACGAACCAAGTTCGGCCCATTGAAGCTAAAGTAGATGCTATTGTAAGGTTACCACCTCCCAAAAATTGTAAAGAGATCAAAAAGTTCCTTGGGATGGCTGGTTACTATAGGCGGTTCTGTCAAAACTTTTCAGCTATTGCTGAACCTCTTACTGCATTATTGAAAAAGGGTGTTGAGTTTGAATGGTCAGATAAATGTCAAGAAGCTTTTTTAACATGCGTGTTTTGGAATCGGTAGGTGTAGAGTCCATACTAGGGTCGGTGAAGTTTTCACCGAGGGTGGTTTCAAAGTTAGTACATGCATGTTTTGGAAGTGTTAGGGGCCGAGTCTATACTACGGTGGGATGGTTTTTGTTTTCACCGAGGTCGGTTTCAAAGTTGTTACAGGCATGTTTTGGAATCGATTGGTGTAGAGTTTAAACTAGCGTCGGGGGAGTTTGGGTTTCACCGTGGCGTGTTTCAAAGTTGGTACAGGGATGTTTTTTGAAGTGATAAGGGAAGAGTTTAAACTAGCGTCGGGGGAGTTTGGGTTTCACCGAGGCGTGTTTCAAATCCATGTTTCGGAGTTGGTTGGGTTAGAGTTTACACTAGAGTGGGACGGTCTTTGTTTTCAACAAGACAGGTTTCAAAGTTGGTGCATGGGTGTTTGGTACAGGACTGTTTTGGAATCGGTGAGGCAAAGTTAAACTAGGGTCAGGGGAGTTTTCAACGAGGCTGGTTTCGAAATTGGGCCATGGGTGTTTCAGAGTTGGAAGGGAACGTTGTCACTTGTAACATTAGTTGAATACAGATACAAGTTTGTCTGTTACTTTGTCTGTCCAAGTAATAGTGTGGTTAGACGTACGGTCTGTTTATCTAGCGGGTGTTTAGGGACGGGGGCTAGGGCGGCAGACATAGGTGGCTAGGGTGCAAGAGATATTCAACGAGGAGTAGTGTCTACAAGTTACATAGACCAGTCTGTTGGAGTAGTGTCTATGGGTTGTGATATTAGTTGAGTGTAGATAAATGTAAGATTGTCATACATCCTTTGTCTCTTAAATGGAATAGAATGGGTAGTGGTACGGTATGTGTATCTATCGGTTGGTATTGAGGTTAGGGATGGGAGAAGGAGAAAGGGGTTGCGGACAAAGGGAAGGGGAAAGGCGAATAGTGATAAAAATAACTCACCCAGCCCCTTAATCAATAAAAATTATTGATTAGATTGAATGATATGTATGCTAACGTCATATCATATTTAGTTTATACACCCTTATTTTGGTGAAATTTAAATGTAGACATTTTAAACTGTGTGTCATTTGACACGACGTACTATAACGTTGTTGCTTTTTAAAACTTGAAGTTTATAATCTTAAGCAAATTCACCACCACCTTACCACCACCTTACCACCACCTTACCACCACCTTACCACCACCTTACCACCACCACCTTACCACCACCACCTTACCACCACTACCTTACCACCACCTTACCACCACCTTACCACCACCTTACCACCACCACCTTACCACCACCTTACCACCACCACCTTACCACCACCTTACCACCACCTTACCACCACCATACCACCACCACCTTACCACCACCTTACCACCACCGTACCACCACCACCTTACCACCACCTTACCACCACCACCTTACCACCACCTTACCACCACCTTACCACCACCTTACCACCACCTTACCACCACCACCTTACCACCACCTTACCACCACCACCTTACCACCACCTTACCACCACCTTACCACCACCTTACCACCACCACCTTACCACCACCTTACCACCACCTTACCACCACCACCTTACCACCACCACCTTACCACCACCTTACCACCACCACCTTACCACCACCACCTTACCACCACCTTACCACCACCTTACCGCCACCACCTTACCACCACCACCTTACCACCACCTTACCACCACCACCTTACCACCACCTTACCACCACCTTACCACCACCACCTTACCACCACCTTACCACCACCTTACCACCACCTTACTACCACCACGTGTGTGTGTGTGTGTATGTTTGTGTGTAAGTCTGTGTGTGTATGTGCGTATCTCAAAAAAGCGTATCATATCAACACCTGGGCAACAAGTCCTAGTCAAAAAGGCCTAATTCATTACAGATCTATAGGAAATCCGTCTTTACATATACTTACGTTAGAGGGAGTAAACTCGTTTGAATCAAAAATGTATTTAAATATATAGAGTTATAGAACTTTAAAGTTAACAGATGATGAAAAAAAAAAAAAAAATTAAAAATTAAAATTAAAATCCACCTCACTTAGGTGTTGGAATCTTTTACTATATATCCTTTACTCCTACTCCTGTCCCCCTTCACCGACCTGCTCACCCCTTCACCTACGTGCTCACTCCTTCTCCACCTTCACCCAACTTTCACCCTTCACCCACCTGATAAGACCGTCACCCGTCTGCTTACACCCCTTCACCCATGTTACTATAAGCGAGTATGTATTGAACATTTGTTAATATTTCCCCCTTCACCCACCTGTTCACACCGTCACCCGCCTGCTTACACCCCTCACCCATGTTACTATAAGCGACTATGTATTGAACATTTGTTAAATTTATCTGGCTCAGGGTGGTCAAATGTTGGTCAGATCAAAAGAAAATCGGAACGGTCATAAAAAACTTAATTACTTTTCCAGACTTGTAAAAAACATGTCTACCCCCGCATACCTTACGTACCAACGCACTAAGTCGCCCCTGTCGCCCATTAAAAAGCACGAACCTACCGAGACTTCGTTTCGTCTCAAAACCTGATTTAACGGTGGTTGAAAGAAAATTCCGACCCTTAAATATATTTTGTTTTCGTTGACCCTCGCTATAAGCGAATAGTTACAACCATTAATCTTTCATACATAGCAAGGGACGGTTCGTAGGACATGTGGAAACAAAATTTTTTAATTTGATCAAAGAATGACCGGGCGTACGATATGTGAACATAGTTCATGGACAGCTGTAATCTAATGAAAAAAGCCGAGAGCCGTGACTAATTACAGCACCAGCTGTTACCTAAGGGCTTCACGGAGCTGACAAATCGATCGGTTTTCGCTGACCTCGCTATAAGCGAATAGTTACCGATGTCGCTACACTTACGATGCGTGACCAATTTAATTAGGTGTGATGGTCAGTGGATGCGATCGATATTACACAGCTGTTGCATAATGACCTACGTACTTCGCGGAAAGCCACTTAATGTACGTCGTAAATTACCATAACCTGTCAACCGAGCGGGGGAAACTCGGTGAAGCATAACAAAAATTTAATTAGGTGGGACATCATGCTGTGATGGCCCAGTGGGTGCGATCAATAAAAAATACGCAGCCCGGAAAAGTTCGCGGGCGGTCGATACGTAACAGGTGTTACGTGTCTGGTTAATGGATGTTATTCACAAAGTACACGCTAACGCACCCCTACCCTCAAACCCCGTCATTACTCCCCTCTCATCCACCAACACCCCTATCCGTTTAAAATCAAATAAACAGTGTCTTTTATTTTAAATACCATACATCAAAGAAAAGAAATATATCAAATAAATAAATAAACAAAAGTAATTAAAATCAAATTACGTAACTAGTTAATAATAATTTAACTAATTATAAAATTAAATTAAATTAAAAATAAACAAAATAAAAATAATTAAAAAGTAAACAAATAATCAAATTACGTAACTCGTCAATAAAAATAATTAAAAAGTAAACAAATAATCAAATTACGTAACTCGTTAATAAAAATTACACAATACAAACAAAGTAATTAAATTAAACAACAAGTAAACAAACAAATTAAACAAAATAAAAATACAATCAAAGTAATTAAATTACGTAACTCGATAATAAAAAATTAATTAAAAATTTAAAAACTCAAACAAATAATCAAATTACGTAACTCGTTAATAAAAAATTAATTAAAATTTTTAAAACTCATTAAAACTAATTAAAAAACACATTAATCGCACTAGCTTTCGTCGTTCAAATAAAATTTCAACAAATTTTAACGAAATAGTATTCCTGGATAACACTAACTTTAATGATTATTTTTAAACAAATGAAATTATCAAAACTTCAAGACATTATAAAACAAACCTTTAAAAAAGAACTTTTGAAATTTCTTGTCTGCAAGTTGGCGCCCGTAGAAGGGTCCACTGTTTGGGAACCAGTGTAATAAGGCTTAAGTGAAAACCACTTTTTTTTCATAAAAAATAGAAAAATAAAATGTATTTAAATATATTTTTAATGAATTTAATCAACACAACTTTGATATAATATTCCTTTTATTTTTTTTTATAGTTGATGACACTTGAAAAATTAACATTTGTACAAAACAAACTGTATGAGTGACACAATGAAACATTTTGAGACGGCGTGGCCAAAGAGGTAGAGCACTAGGCTGCTAACCCGTAAGTCTCGAGTTCGAATTCTGTTTCCTGATCCTACCCAACTCTGAAGTTTATGCGGCTAGGCAAAGTGCTGACTACACACATCATATATATGTCGAAGTCAAAAACTCTCATTTATTTACTTTACTTCTTTTTAAACATTTAAAACATATTGTGATGGTTTAACGACACATTGGAGAAACTATATGAATTACATAAAGCTAAACGTCCTTTTTACAGACATCTCTTACATAAGTTAATATTACGCTTTCGCTATGATCAGGCTTCCGTGGGCCACTCTGTCTGAATAAGTGAGGTACATGCCATCTGCATTTGTTAATTTATCATTTTCATGCAAATTTTCATCCGGGTAAGGATTCGGAAGCAATATACTCACACACAACCAAAAACACGCAACATTTTAAAATAATTACATATTAATTAAATATAAATTAATTATATATACATTAGACTGCTAACCCGTAAGTCTCGAGTTCGAATCCGGGTTCAAGTCAGTAGACCGTCCCTAAGTCCACCCAACTCTGATGGGTACCTAACTCACGTTAGGGAAAGTAAAGGCGGCTGGGCATAGTGCTGACCACACTATCTCTTCATATGTCGAGGTCACAGAAACAAGTGAACTCTACTTCACTTGCCCCATAGACCGTTAGGTTTGAAAGGGAAACTTTATACATTAAAAGTTTAACATTTTTAAACTATGAAACTATAAAGTATAAAAACGATTGGCCTTATATTTCGCTTTCAAACTGCATTCTTTGAATTTATAAAAACTAAAGTGTAAAGAAAATCTCAAGATAACCTTTTAAAGATATTTAGATATTGAAATGTATTTTAATGGTTAAGTCCCTTGTCCCAGTGATCACACTAAGTGTAAATGATGTTTTAGTGTTTACAACATATTAAAAAAAGAACTACTTAACAACATTCTCTTAAAGATTTGAAACTTCAGGATTATTTTTCAATAACGTCAATAAAAATTATTTAATTGGGACGGTGCACAAAATTGATAGTTTGCCCCGGGCGCCGGCTTGGTCGCTACGCCTCCAACAACATATGACTGCAGATACAATATTCCCACTGATGTATTTAAACTACTAGACACAAAGGCTACTTAAACGACGGTTTAACTTTCAGCACAAGCTTGCATTTTTCCGCCTCCACATCGTGACCTATCGTGCTTCAATTTCGCATTTTACCGCCTCTACATATGACCTATTGTTTCTTAATTTCGCATTTGAACTTCACCCACGTTAGTCGCTTTATAAATAATTAAAACGACGTGTATGATATCTACAATTCTTAACTTACCTTTAGATAGAATGTTGTTTTGATGATAAAGATTTCTTGTTGTAGCTGATCTACACGTACGAAAATCATCAAAACAAGAGAGATAACTCTCTTATTGACAACGCGTTCCGGGAAAACCCGCTATTATTTAACCGAGGAAGTTCTGTAACCCTACAAAATTCTAGTCCCTGATTCCACACAACAAGAGTAGGCCTAATTAAGGTACTGCTAATCTTTCATTAATCTTTTTAATCTTTTTTTAATAATACCATTTCCTTTTAATATAATCAGATAACAAAAAAATAAAGAATTCTTATTCAGTTATTATATTGTGTTAAATATAAAGCTGGATATCGTAATATTTCTCTAAATTAATTGTATCAAATACTCTGTGATTAGAAAAGTGCGTAGATCGATTTCTAAAAACACGTATTTTATTACTGTTATGTTTAGGCAATTCACAGACAAATTGTTAAAATAATGTCAGTAATGAACAGATAATGAAAGTGAAAAACGGAAATACCCAAGTGTATAATTTTAGCAAGCAGGAAATAACATAAATAATGCCAAGGAGAACTATCGCATTTGTTTCTTATATGTATTACATAATTAATTGTAACATTAATGACCTATAAATATATGTTAACATCTTTCAAAGTAGTTTTCATTTAGGTGTGGTTTGCATTAATAGTTTGATAAGTTTGGAGAAAAATTTAGACGATGTAGATTTATAGTTCACTTATTATATTTTATTCTATTGTTATCATCAACCCTTTATTTATTGAATTAAATTCTGAAAGAAATATGTTTTATTTAACACTCAATTATTATATTGTTTTGGCACACTTAAATTATATGTGACTCAAGGGAGATTATAAATATATAAATGATTATAAAGATTAACTTTAACATAAAATAATAACTAAAGAACTTGGCTTACTTATAGGTACCTTCAGTAGCTAAGGGATTTAACTCTGACGGATTTGCTCATTGGATTAAGATTTAGTTAGAGAAAAATTCACTATGCTAACAATAACTCAACTATCAAATCCTATTTAAGGATGCTTTTCTGTACTCGTCGATATAGTCATCTTCAGGGATTTAGAAATTTTGACGGACACTGTTGATATATGCACTGGACTGACTATTTTAATGAATACCTGAACAGTTATTACTTTGCTTTAATTATCGTGAGATGGGATTATTATTTTGTGCTTGTACATTTTTAAAACTTGCTGTGGAATAGTTATGATATAGTTAAGAATTATGTTGATGAAAACAAATAGGCTATATAGTATCATAAAAGGATCTAAAGGAATCGACTTTATATCAGTGCTTCTCTTCCATCTTTCTTTTCCGGGGGAGGGGGGTGACACATGAAATTTTCGGGGTTTGGGGGGGGGGGGGGGAGGCGGGCAAACTAAAATTTCCGGGGGGGGGGTGGGGGTGGGGACGGACACTGTTAAATGTATATGTTTTCTATATTAATTCCATTTCGTTAGGGGGCGGTAGAAACACTACTTTTAATTTGCTTAGAGATAATGAGAGAGTTAACATATTTTTGAAATTAATATTTGTATTAACATTTAGATGCCTTCAAGAATTCAGGTCAAGCTTCTTACAGAGCACATGAAATATTTGGAAGAACAGATACAATTACTGGAACCTGTTTTGGGAAATATGAAAAATGTAAGTAGATTCCAACGTCTTAGTGTTTACAATGAACAAATAATTTTGTACAGGATAAAGTACATTTAGCGTTTTACGAAGTACACGTGTTAAGAAATACAGAACAACTACATCTTTTTAGGCATCTAGAAGAACAACACATGTTTTGGAATATAGCACTCGAAAATGTGTTGTAATAAAGCACGACAACACGTGGCCACTTAAAAATTTTGTTGTTGTTTACTTACACCAGGTTGTTGCAAAAAGTAGGGCGTGGCTAGAAGAATAAACTGACCAATCATCTGTCAGCTACATCGAGCTATCACAAGAACTGGACACAGCAGCCACGGCCTTGTTGGATGTGACGTCATATATTTTAGGTCAGTACTCCAATAGTTTTTATAATTTAAAATCTCAAAGCCTACTGTCATGTGTCATGTCTGTTCAGTAATGAAGTGTTTCTACTGAGAAGAATGCAACGAAATTGTTTTACAGTTTAGTTTACAGGCATTACAAATACTAAGTTAAAGAGATATATAATTTTACTGTCTAACAAACCACTTTCCTCTTTCCTATGAAATAGATGTCACATTAGTGAATATTGTAAATCATTATATCAACAAAAAAAAGATTTTTACAAGCACATCGTGTAACCTTATTCGCCCTAAAACAACGTTGAAGAGCCTTAATTGTCTATAGAACATTAAGGTTTTTTTTTAATTAATTTGTATTTTAAATTCGATAATTATTCTTGTAAAAGTTAATTTTAAAACAATATATAGATTTCGGTTATTTTGGAATTATTTGTATTTGTATACATTTGGATCATATTCAAAGTTCTTTTTTTATCAGAGTATTACATGGTTTACGTTATAATTTAACTAGCTAACATAGCAACATTTTTTTTGTGTGCTATAAAATCCTTGTTCACTTCAACTGCAATGAAAATAAAATTCTAAACCCCAATCCACCAGATGAGGACGACATGGATGTCAACAAACCAACGCCATCTTTACCACAGCCTGACACACAGACAACAGCAACATTTCTAACAGTAGAATCAACAAGACAACTCAAGACACAAGTCCAACTTATAGCGGGTATGTCGTAGTTTTGTTTAGTATAACTAGTTAAGTAGCTGCATTGTAAGCCGTATACAATGTTAAAGCTTGTACGGTTTGATACTGTTTAATTAAAAAAAAGGAAAATTAATTTTGTTGTGTTTTCTTTTTTAAAGATCCTATTTTTCAACATTTAATTCCTTTAAACTCATAAATTGTATATGTGCGACTATTCTCAGTTAAAGAACATCCTGACCTAGAGCGTAGACTCGCCTATATTGAAACAACACTATCTTCACTACAGGACACACAACACAAGTCTACAGATGACATATCAGAAATAAAACAATGGAGAGACAACTTTGTAACAGAACAGACTGACATGACGGTAAACATTGCACAACTGACTAAAAAACAAAAGCAGAATTTTAAAAACCTCAGAAAACAAATGAGTGAACAAGATAACAAAGTAAAGGAGCTGAACAAAGAAATTGAAAGTTTGAAAGAAAAAGAAACCAAGTCAAACAAAACACTAGAGAAACTGTCTCTAGATATGAAAGAATATGAAAACAACTTACACAAAATAAATAAAGAGATGCAAGATCACACAGACAAAATAGAAAGTATAACACAGGAAATTAAAAGACATTCGGATCTGATGGCTGCCCTACAAAAGGAGTGTGATAAAATCTTGTGTAATACATCAACTCAATTAAAAAAGGTAAAGTTGATAATTATGTGTATTCACCATTTTACACATACTCGTCAGATAGTTTATTATAACCAGGTTAAATAAAAAAAAAACTTACTAACTTCATCAGCTGTTATACTTTAATATAATTACTAATTTTAAGACACATGTTTATGTTAGATATAATATGCATTAAAAATAATCAAAATTAAAATGCTTTTATATAATCCTTTGATATTTAGCAAAATGTATTGTACAAACTACTACAGCAAAGATTGATGCCCATTGACAGACTGATTCAAATCTTTAACCAGAACTTGGAAACTAGGGAAGAAAAAACTACGAAGGTAAACGGGTAGTAATTTTATTAATAATTAAATTGCAACGTTGATAAATCCGGCCTAAAGTATTAACACTACGTCAATAGAGCAGTTAATACATGTTTTCTTAAATTAAGTAATACATCTTTAATTTAAAAAAAAAACACATCCTATAAATTATTTTATAAGTGCAGCTATTGTATGTTGTACGTAACTATGTGATTTTTTCACTCATTTTATAAAATCTTTTTTAGCTTGAAACTATTGAAGCTACTATTTCAGTGCTGTCCAAAGATTTGAATCTTTTAGGTAGGTTTGCCTGAAAATTTTATTTAAAAAAAAATTACGTGATGTTCGTTAGACAAACAGACCATAACGAGATGTCCGTTAGCCAGACCATAACGTGATGTTCGTTAGCCAGACAGACCATAACGTGATGTTCGTTAGCCAGACAGACCATAACGTGATGTTCGTTAGCCAGACAGACCATAACGTGATAAAGAATGGAACATTTCACTCACCCATAGTGCCAGTGTCTAGACCCGTGGGTTTCCGTCAGGTGTTTGTTTCCTCACCTGGTACATTACACCGCCTGGTATGTCGGGGGTCGACCTTCAGCGGTCGACCCTAGTACAGTAAGACATTTACCGGATGGTCACTTGCCAGAATTGATACTTTCCCGAATGGGGCAAGCCCGAGCGGACACATGCCCGAATTGATACATTCCCGAATGTGACAAATGCTCAAAAGCCACTTACCCGAAGGCCGTTTTCCCGGAAATGGTAACATTACAAATTTCCAAATAGTCATTCTTAATCAACTTAAATTTGAAATTTTGATTATTAAAAAAATGTCTAACCAAATTGAAAGGGAACAAATAGTATTTAACATCTGCAAGCAGCCATTATGAATTAAATAGAATTTGCTATATTATAGAAAGTGTAGGGCCTACATCTTTTGCTATCTATAAAACAAGACGAAAATATAATTTTCACTTATCTGATGTTTTTAAATGATTCTCACTTTCTGTATTAAGTAATAGCTTCAACACATTATCTAAACAAGCTGCATTAAATGAAGATCAAATATAATAGACTACCTTAAGTTTCTAAATTCGCTACCTTGACCGTGCCTCGTTCTGTTGTAAATGATCACCCTACAAGCTAAGCATAAAACGATAAATCCATCAAACGCGCCTCTGTTCAATGTTGCGAGACGCCGCGCCGCCTACACCGTGTCATATGTGCTGTATAACCGCCTCAGCACATCGGCTAAACAAGGTTTTCAAAACTTACATCAAAAGAGTATAAAAACACCGCCACCAACATAGCATTACATTATTAAAGAATAACGTTGTTTTTTTACAGCAATTTTTCAATTTTCATACATTACATGTTAAATTTTAATAATATACGCATTTTTAAAAAAAAGATAAACAAATTTGTTTTTTTTAAGCCCAGAACTGTGTTATGAAAATGTCAAACTTGAATTGATTAAGATTGGCTATTTGATATAAACAAATGTCCATTCGGATATTTGTCGCATTAGGGCAATCGACCTTGGGGCAAACGGCATTTGGTCGAGTGTTGTTCGGGAATTTGTTGTAGACCCTGTTTTAGCATAGCAGTATATAACATTTGTTGTACGTTTAGTGTACTGGTCTAGTGTTTCAATTTATGGTCTTTGACAAAGCTTTGAAAACATTATGGATTCTAGTTTTTTTTTTTGAAAAATAAATGTTTGATTTGGGTTTGTCAATTTTACCTTACATTATATACTGCGTACAAAACACATATAAGGAGTTTATGTTTAGTGTTAATAACATAAACTAATGAAACGACAATTTACAAATATTATGGATCAAATAGTCAAATAGCGTTCGTGAAATTAAACATGTACATCATACGCATGTTATCTAATCAGCAGAGTCACGTGTATGTAACAGATATGCATGTCATGTAAGGCTTGCTTATGAGACACCTGTCAGTGAAGAATCAATTATTTCAACCTTTACTGAAGTAAGTGGATATAACGGTCAACATTTTAATCAAACAACAGGAACATTTGTATCACCACATGATGGTTTATATCTTGTCTGTGTGACTCTACATGAATGTGAAGATAGACGGATTATAGTTGGTGTGATAGCTGGAGGCAGGTGCTGTGCGGCTATAGCAGTGAAATGTGCCGACACTAGCGCTGCTGGGTCAGTAGTTGTTGACATGAAGAAAGGTCAAGAAATTTACCTTAAAGTGTATCGCGCAGAACAACACGCAAAGTTATCCAGCTACAGTAGTTTTACTATCGTTAGTTTATAGAAGTACAACATAAAATTTGGTGGATGGTAAATTCTCGAAACAATAAAATATGTAACCACCATGTTAAGCACAATCTAACAACTTACAATATGTGTAGACTACATGTCTACAAAAATGTGAATGGTTTATCTGTTGTTGTTTTTTAAATACTATGTGTATAGACTACATGTCTACAAAAATGTGGTTGGTTTATGTGTTGCTTTTTTAATTACTATTTGTGTAGACTACATGTCTACATAAACTATAATAGTTTAAGTATTATTTGTTTAGCTATCATTACACAGTTCCAACTAATTCATTGTGATCAACAATTTATATGTTTTACTTGACTACAAGAAACATATTTGATAACTCTATTTTTAATTACCTTTTGTTTTTATGTATAAGAATTTTTTGTGAACCGTTTTTTTGTGTTGAAAAAACAATTAGTTTTTTGTATGTAAAATACGACATTGAAACCCGCATTTTCTAGAAAAACTAAATATGTCAGATATATTAATAATTATTATACATGTTATGCGTTTGTTAAATATTTGAGAAATATACTGCCAGTAAATGTTAATTTGATTCAAGGCACAAAATTAAAAAAAAAAGTTTTTCTCGATACAAAAAAAATTTCTTGTGTTTTTAATCAGTATGTGAATTAATAGGCCTACTTACCCAACACACACACGCACACACACACATACACACACACAAATGGTCCATAAAAACTCTATATAATATGAATTGAAATATCTCTATACTCATAAATAAATATATGTATATATATATATATATATATATATATATATATATATATATATATATTTATATATATATATATATATATATATATATGTATATGTATATGTATATATACATATATATAATGGTTACGATAAACCAAACCCGTCTTTTCGAGCTTGATTTGATTTTATCTGTTGTTTTAATAAAAAAAAAAACCACTGTAGGCTTACATGGTTTCACACATCAAACATCACTCATTACGGTTAAGAAGATGATTCACCCTTAACGTGTACATCTGTTCGCCACAGAGCTCAATAAAGACAAATAACTCTGCTGAAGTGAAATCAAGTCAACAGCCAAATGAAGTAGCATTGACCTGTCTACTTTAGTCTAGACTACCTATGTGTCTAGTTGATTCTAGCTGCAAATATGAATTATGGTTGTCTATTTATTCTTATGTTAATTATAATATTAATGTTATACCAAATACAAGGATATGTAAGTTAACGACGCAATGTCTAAAGTCTCAATGACGTTACACCGCCACGTCTTTATCCCCGTGTTCAGGTAAAAGAGCTGAGTATTGCATCACTAAAGTCGCGAGTTCAGTCCCTATGCCAGATTAGGCTCGTTAGTTTGGACCATCTAGCGGAGAAAACTCATAACAGCTGCTACCTTGTACTTTATTTGTGGATGGACACGGGCTATGGAAGAAAATGCAGAAATAAAAGAAGGCTGCATGCAGTTTTAGCGTGAAATAGAGTGCATAGCACCTATTTAGTAATAATAATCAATATAAATAGGTTCAATTCACGAAGACAATATCCTCATGTAATCAAATTCTATCAATAACCAAAACTGTTGACAACATAACACTACACGTAGTAACCCACACATTCTGTTGAAGGTATCCTGATACTAGTCTAGATAGAAACAATACAATCAAACTCTATACCTAGAACTGACTGATTACAAGGTTATTATCTAAAGCACCGAAACATGACACATTTTTATTTGTCTACATAAGAACACAATGCTATAATTTGAAGCAAGGCTCCTGCATCGGATTCATGCACCTTAAAATAAAGTGTTTCTCTTTTCTTCATGGCAACAATAGTTGAGCCACAAGCAGAGGTTAAAGCAAACTTTACACACATTTGCTTTTGCAATTCGTTATCTCCCTTTAAAACACTAACCGTAATTTGTTTATCTTCACGCCCCTGTAAAGTTACAATAACAAGATAGTCACAATCATCTGGTGCTACAAGTTTTTCTGTTGTCTGATTAAATTGATAGCCGTTAGGTTCCCACACAAGTTGAAAAGTAGAAAGAATTGATCCAGCAGTTACCGGTGTGTTGTGATCTATGTAGATGTCAAAATGTAAGGCTTATACGCACGGACCTCTGTTGATAGTAGATATTAGTGATTTCATCTTTAATCATGGGTGAGTCCACGTATGTATCTGTGTGGCTTGTCGTTGTTGTGTGATGAAGGTGTGGGGGAGAATAGGCGGGTTATGTGTATGATAAATGGTCAATATTAAAACATTTTTAAAATACATTTATTAATACCTATGCATGTAGCCTAAAGTGCACATGACACTAAACAGACGACTTTAGTTATAATACTTGAATTTAAGCCTATACATTTACTGCCGGATTGGTACTGATGGATGTGATATTTTGTTTTACAACACGCCCAGTACAAGAAAACCACAGAGAAAAGGATGCGATCGTGCTCCCAGTGTTCTCCAGCGACTATCTCAGCACCAGGGATCTGTTGAGTGGCGTGCTGCACAAAGGGTCAGGGGTACTACCTGATACCCTTAATAACTTAGTTAATAACTTAGCACACGGCGGGAGTAGTTGCGATTTAGTCTTGCACCATATTGATGCAAGACCCGATAACAATGTAATTTGACATCACATTTTAATCATCATTTACCTTTAGGAAAAAAACATTATTAAGAGAAAAGTAAAATATCTTAGCAATTTAGTTTTTAGAACAAAAACATATATATTAAATAATTTTACATTGCTTATATCAGAGAATAAATTACAAATGACATTAGTTATTGTTTGATAAACATGAATTTTATTGAAACATTTTTTTACTAGAATCAAGGTGTATGTTTGTTTTCTTGTTGTTGCTTTTTAAGAGGTATTCAATTAAGAAGTATATTGAACTAGCAAATTCATACATTTAAGGACATGCATATCAACATTTGAACAAACATATGTGATGAGAAAATCAGGTTTTTAATATCCTAACTTGTATTAAGTTATTTTAAATGCACAATTGCTTTTACAGTTTGCATGGGAAATTTTACAGATCGTTAATGCAACTATTTATTCTACGCTGACGAAATTGTTTATATACATTAGTGAACAGCTGATGTACTACCTATAGTAGGGTACAGGCACCTACACATACACGATCAGCTGGCACATACTCGCCGTGTTTTGATCAAACCTTCACACAATAGATATAGCTGATAAAGTCATAGCATGTGTAAAATTAATGATAACGCTAGTAAAATGTTGTATATGTTCATTGAAAAGATAAATGACAGGAAATTAAGCCAAAGAACGGGTCAGTACAAAGTACACATACAACTCAGACATCACTACATGAAAGAGGTAACTTGGGTTATTGACGTGATATTTTGTTTATTGAAGCGAAGCGACAGTTCGTTTCTACTGGAACTAGAGTGTCTAAAACAAAGGCTAAACAGCTGAACATTTTGTTTTATTATTCTGTCAAATGTGAGTATGCGCTTAAAGTGTCTAAGCTAAAGGCAAAAACAAATGAAACTTTGTTTTATTCTTCTGTCAAATGTGAGTATCTTTATATATAATTCTCTTCTGGGAGACTCTAGAAAACAAGCTGTAAACGCGCTCCCTACCATCCCCACCCCTACATGGTCTTAGTGAGCAGTGGTTCACGCTATATTTACCTTCGTGGAGTCGGGTTTAGTGACGGCTATTAGGGGCAGATAAATTAGTTTGAAACTATTTTAAACGTTTGGGGGGGGGGGGGAGGAAGGGGGGGGGGTTATGGTCCTTAACGAGCTACTTATAGTGTTTTAAAGAAATATTTTCAGTGTCAGCATTGGTACTGTCGAATTCACAAATTATGAATTACTGAAAAGTAGAAAAAACAAGAACTAAATAGCGGCGTATGTTACGCCGCGGGCCGGCTCGTACATTTAAATTGTCTAAGCTAAAGGCAAAAACAAATGAAACTTTGTTTTATTTTTCTGTCAAATGTGAGTTTATATTTTAAAATAGTAACGTTAATGTAAAATCCATGCTTTACACAAAAGCATACTTTCCATCAACTTCTTTTTACAAGCCTAACATGTTAGACAATTGACCAATCACAAGACTGCAAACATGAGTTAATGCCCTTTAAATGCTCTGAAATTCATTCGCGTTAAGTAATGTTTAAATAAATCAAGTCCATGTATATAAACTATAAGAATTGTTTGATTATTCGATGTGAGGAAAAGATTCGTTATTTTAAAACGTCATTATAAATTCGTTCTAGTATGTGAATTCTATTTCTGTTAATTCAGATGCGTCTTAGAGTGCAAGTCAAATATGTTACAGAGCACATGAACTATTTAGAAGAAAAGATACACGTCATGAAACCTGTGGTTGAAGCTTTGCAAGGTGTAAGTGGTTCTGTCTCTTCCTGAATTCATCATTGACTTGGTGCTTTTTATATTAAGCTTGTTGTAGATAATGATGGAGTATAGTATTTAAAAACCACAAATATTTAAAATACACAATATTCCCACATAACATACTGACACACATTTTAACGCTAAGACAAAATGATTTATGTCAGAAGGCTGTAGACAAAAGTAAGACTTGGTTAGAAGATAAAAGTGACAACGAATCTTTGACATACTGTGATCTATGTCAAGAACTTGAATCAGCTACCTTGGCCTTGTTGGATAAAGCGACTCACATCTTAGGTAAATATTTTAAAACACCATTGTGTTTTACTTTAATTGATATTCTGGAGTATCAGTTAAATATCAATAATGTAATACAAATAATGACTGTAAAATCTGGTCAATTTTGGATTTTTTACTTATTTAAAATTGATTTATTTCAATTGATCAAATACCATTTAGATATTTTACAATTTCACTAAAAATTTCAAGGCGAAAATAAAGAAAGTGTAGAAGATGGAAGGTCATTTTCATCCCAGTCTACCTCACAAACAACAGCAACAGAAGAATGTGGCAGTAGTCAGTCAACAGATCAAGTCCTTAACGAACTTTATAAACCATCAGGTATCTATACACACATATTTTTACAAAAAAAAAATTAAGTTAAAACAAATATTTTCAAGGTGAATGATTCAAATATATTTTCTTAAAGAAAAGTAGCATATTATAATAATTTTCAAACTTTTTTACTATTGCGATTGACTAAATTTTATAATGCCATAGAAATATTAAGTCGACTTGAGCAGATAGAGACAGCCATATCTTCTCTACAAGACGTCAGTCGACTTGAGCAGATAGAGACAGCCATATCTTCTCTACAAGACGTCAGTCGACTTGAGCAGATAGAGACAGCCATATCTTCTCTACAAGACGTCAGTCGACTTGAGCAGATAGAGACAGCCATATCTTCTCTACAAGACGTCAGTCGACTTGAGCAGATAGAGACAGCCATATCTTCTCTACAAGACGTCAGTCGACTTGAGCAGATAGAGACAGCCATATCTTCTCTACAAGACGTCAGTCGACTTGAGCAGATAGAGACAGCCATATCTTCTCTACAAGACGTAAGTCGACTTGAGCAGATAGAGACAGCCATATCTTCTCTACAAGATGTCAATGACAAGTCTACAGATGACATATCAGAAATAAAACAATGGAGAGACAACTTTGTAACAGAACAGAGTGACATCGGGGTGATCATTGAACAACTGACTAAAAAACAAAAGCAGAATTTTAAAACCTTTAGAAAACAAATGAATGAACAAGATAACATAGTAAAGGCTCTGAACAAAGAAAATGAAAGTTTAAAAGAAAAAGAAACCAGTTCAAACAAAACACTAGAGAAACTGTCTCTAGGTATGAAAGAATATGAAAACAACTTACTCGAAATAACTAAAAAGATGCAAAATCACACAGATAAAACAGAAAGTATAACACAAGAAATAAAAAGCTATTCTGATTTAATTGTTTCTTTACAAGAGGATTATAATAAAACCAGGGCAAATGTATCTACCAAATTTGAGAAGTTGCAATTCAAGGTAAACATTAAGATTGCTAATTAATTGGGTATACATTTGCTGAAAAGTGTATATACTACTCATTTTATAAAGAAGTTGTATATTAAATTAAGTCATTTTATTAATTTTTTCAACAGTAAGACCATTGATTCTAAGACTATACTTAAAGCAGTTTTTATTGCTGCAATTTAATCTCCAAAAGAAATAGTCAAACTTGTAGTAATCCATTAAAATTATCGGCCATTTAGCACAACCTGATGTACCAACTTCTACAGCAAAAATTGATGCCCATTGACAGATTGTTTCAAATATTTAACAAGAGCTTAGTAACTAGAGAAGAAAGATCAAAGAAGGTATGTTTGTAAATATATAATTACTGTATAGTCTGTAGCATTGCGCATTAATTATCTAGTTATTTTTAGACCATTGAATGAAAATTGATAATTAAGTGATATCTAATGTTTTTTTTTTAAAAAAAACAAGATAGTGCTATAAAATCAGTTTATCTAATTACCCTTTGCTATTGTAAAGTGAGTGGACCAATTGTATGATTTACGCAGCTATGTGATAATTTTATTCATATAATTTACACTTTATTTTTATTCAGCTGGAAACTATGGAAAATGTTATGTCAAAGTTGACGATGGATTTCAATGTAATCGGTAAATTTCTTTTGGAAAATATTAATCTTACATCATGATATAATTTAATTGGTCAATCTATATTATCTCTATATAGATGTAAATATAAAACTTTATTGTAGAATATCGATGCAAACTCCATACTTTCCTATTTTAGTTTACTAGCCTCTTTAATATAAAACATAATACCATGTATACGTTTGAGCAATTTTCGTTAGCCAAACACAGCATAATATAAAAAAAAAAACAACGAATCCAGCATTTCACTCACCCATGGTACCAGCCACTAGACCCGTTGATTTCGCCAAACATTAGGTTCCTCACCTGATGCATTACAAAACCAGGTAGATCTGTCGCAGTAAGAATTGTATGTAGCTTAAGTTATTTTATAATGTAAACAAAAACTTTAGCCCTTTAGGTTTATGCTACTTAAAAAGTGTGTTCTAGAAGCAAGATTTAGATCTTCAATATAACATGAAAATATTTTGTTCTGATTGTCTTCACGTCAAGATTATAATTCTATTGGTTCTGTTCGTATTTGTGTTAATAGAATTACCATATTTAATTTAACAATATTCTGATGTATTACGGCTTTTAATACTTATCGTTTGCATAATAAATGAAAAGTCAACGGATATCATGTCTTGAGGACGGTGCCCTGTCAAAACGGCCCGGGACAAATCGGCCCCGTCAAAACGGCCCCGTTAATATGACCCCGTCAAATCGACCCCCGACAAAACGACCCAGTCAAAATAGCCTCGTCAAAATGGGCTCCCGTTATATTGACTCGCGATATATAGGCTCCCGACAAATGAGCTCCCGACATTTAGGCTCCCGACAAATGGACTCCCGACATATTGGCACCCGGCAAATAGGCTCAGGACATATTGGCTCCCGACAAAGCGGCTCCCGACATATTGGCTCCCGACATAATGGCTCACGACAAATGGGCTCACGACAAATGGGCTCCCGACAAATGGGCTCATGACATGTTGGCTACCGACAAATGGGCTCCCAACATATTGGCTCCCGAAAAATGGTCTCCCAACATATTGGCTACCGACAAAATGACTCCCGACAAATTGGCTACAGACAAATGAATTGTATGACCACTATTGGCAGAAAAGTGACCATTTTGTCCTACCTCTACTAGCACTATAACCTCTTTTAAATGTCTGAATGAAACAAAATCAATTCACAAACAATTCAAGCCCTTAACAGCTAAAATCCACCAATTCTAAAACTTTGATTAAGTTTAATTTACAACAGTAAACGTCTGTTGCTTAAAAGCGAGCACAGAAGTGAAAATGTATGATATACATGATGTTTACTGGATAACTGCACTTTGTTTTGATAACTTACAAGCATACAGCATGTTGGACCCCTCTCCCCACACACTGAGTTGGAACAGCCTATCACCGACTCATTTATGGAAGTCATAGATAGATGACCCTTAAATTAAAACATAATATTTCTTAAAATAGATAAACTAATAGAAAAATAAGGCCTGCCGAACAAGAGATGCAAACGTTGTATAACTTAAGAGTGTTGGATAAGCTAACTCTAAAGAATATTGATGAAGGGGTCTCACTGGCAGGTGTCATATTCAATGAGACCGCTTTGCCGGAAGACTTAGTCTCTACAGAAACGGTATTGTCAGTGGTCCTTTTGTCGGGAGCCAAATTGACAGGAGCCTATTTGTCGTGAGCCAAAATGACGGGGGCCTATTTGTCGCGAGACGTAATGACGGGGGGCCGTTTTTGACGGGGTCGTTTTGACGGGGCCGTTTTGTCAATGGACGTTTCGATACGCAGGAAACAATTACCTAACACTACAAAAAATGACGGGGTACTTAACTAATGGTTTCAATCAGTGCTGTTATAGAGAATGGTGTAAAAATAATCCACAAGTCTCTATATGTAGATAAATGGTTTGTTGTCTATTTTTATTTTGTACTTACATGTCGTAAGTCATGCACTCTCACTTGCACATGTTTCATATTCATAGCATGCATTGGTAGAAATTAAATATGTATATCATATATATGTTTCCCAATCAACAGAGTCGCGGGTATGTAACAGATATGCTTGCATTGCACAGCTTGCTAATCCCACACCTGTCAGTGATAAATCAATTATTTCAACATTTAGTGAAGTACGTGAATATAACGGTCAACATTTTAATCAAACAACAGGAACATTTGTATCACCACATGATGGTTTATATCTTGTCTGTGTGACTCTACATGAATGTGGACATAAACTGATTGGCGTTACTGTGATGGCTGGTGGCAGGTTGTTTGCAGTTATAGATGTTAAATCTAACAGATCTAGCGCTGCTGGGTCAGTGGTTGTCGACATGAAGAAAGGGGAAGAACTTTTCTTTAAAGTGTATGCAGTAGATCCAGGCGCAATGTTATCCAGCTTCAGTAGTTTTACTATCGTTAGTTTATAGATGAACATCATCAAACATGGTGGTTGGGAAATTATTTTTAAAAAAAACGAATGTATAAAAACTAAATTTGTAAACACACGTTACTAAACTTCTATGTGTTTAAACTTCATGTCAACTAATGGTCTATGTTTACCATACACATTTGCTACCAGTCCAATCAACATCTATGTGTTTTATTAGACTACTCTCTACTTACCTCTTTAACTTTGAACACAATATGATAACTCTGGCTTAATGCGGATAACTTAAATTACATTTTATCTTTGTATCAACATGTATCTTTCACCTGAAACAGAAACCAAACATGAAATATAATGTACAGTGTTTTATTAAAAGATCATTCACTCTGCTCATATACTTACTACTCTTTTTGTTGTTACTTTTGTTCTTAATTTTTATTTTATTTTCAATATTCAGCACAGACATGCTTGCAATGTTTCAAAATATTAAGAAACGAGAGAATATCAGAAAAATAAGATGGGATATAACGAATAGTTATAATACGTGAACGAATGAATATAATAGGAGGAGGGAACCTGATATCTTAATTGTTTTCAGATTTACTGGTTTGTCTCTATTTGGGGAAATGGCTTCTGGAAAAAAGTAAAACTGGGTTTCATGAATAGTTTGGTTTCTGACACGACACAAGGTATACAACTGTAATTAGAAAGTATTCAAAAATATGTTCAAAACTTTGAAAATAAAGAACATGTTAAGCATATTATTATGCTTCTGCCAAGTATACAGAGTTGCATACTATGTTACAAAAGATAAAATAAAAGGAGATAACTTTAGCTTCATTCTCGTCCGCCTTTTTATTCGCTGGTTTCACTTACATGGATTAAAGCAATGATGGTTAGACAACACAAATTTACGGTTTGGCTTTTATTTTTGAACATCTTTTTCAGCTTGAAGGGGGTTGAGCGAAATTTCCTAAAAGAAAAAAAAAGAGGGGCGGGGGTATTAATAATTGTAAAAACAATTACTAGTAAAATACACCACCATTTGCACATTTATGGATGTTGAGGGGTTAAGGAAAGGAACTCTGTTTACATGTGCGATTGATGGCTAGGCTCTGCTGCTTATCGTGTTGTGCTGAGTGAGGTGTTGCCTAAAGATATCTGATACTGGTCTACATGTAAACAATACAATCAAATGCTAAGCCCTAAATAATCTACAACACTACCATACAAAACACTGAGGCTGTCTAACACAATTTTGATGTTGATTTAAGAAGAAAGTTTTACAATCATTAAAAGGTAATCCACTAGGTGAATGTAGCGTGGCTCCCACTTCTGCTTGAGAAGCTTTAAGTAGAGTTTGTCTTATTTCTTTGTTAACACATATTACAGATGAGATAAAGACAAATATGTTGCAGATTTTACAAAATCTTGTTATCTCCATTTAACACACTAACTCTTATCTGATTATCTCCCGTCTCAATTAACGTTACAATAATCAGATATAATCCATTATCTTGTGTCGACACGTTTTCCTGTTGTTTAATTACACTGGTGCCCGTGATGTTGAAAGAATCGATCCAGCAGTTTCTGTTCTGTCTTTATTAATCAGTGTTTCTTCCAGACTTTTTTTCTCCGGGGGGGGGGGGGGGGGGCACTTGAAATTTTCGGGTGGGGGGGGGCGGTAGACTTTCTTCGTGGGGGGGGGGGGGCAGACACTGTTAAAAGTATATATTTTCTATATAGATTATATACATTTCATTTCGTTCGGGGGGGGGGGGGGGGTTGGGGGGCGGTAGAATTTTTTCGGGGGGGCGGGGGCTTTGTGACCCACTCCTCTCTCCAACATCTCGCGACCCCTCTGATCTTTTATCTCGTGTCTGTTCACCCAACCTAAATTAAATTATTTACTATGCGCTGACGATTTTTTATTGTTTATACAAGTGAGTGAGTGTATGATGTACTACCAAAACTAGGGTAAAGGTACATACACATACACGATTAGCTTGCACGAACTTACACCATCACACATTCGTTATAACTGATAAAATCACATCATGTGTAATATTGATGATAACACGATTAACAAGTTTTATATGTTTATTGAGAAGATAAATAGCAGGATAATAAGCCAAAGAACGATACAGTACAAAGTGCACATAAATAGAGATATCACTACATGGTAAGGGTAATTTGTGTTATTGACTTGACTCTTTGTTCATTGAAGCGGAGCGACATTTTGTTACTACTGGAACTAGTTTGTCTGAAACAAGAGCAAACCAACTAAAAACTTTGTTTTATTCTTCAGTCAAAAGTGAGTTTACATTTTAAAATAATGTTAAATCCGATTTTTACACGACATCAAAATTTCCACCAACTTAATGTTTACAAAGCTAGACAACTGTCAAATCACAAAGACTACAAATGTGAGTTAATGGCAATTAAATTCTATGAAATAATTGTTTATAAATAATGTTTAAATAATTCACGTCTGAAACTTTTTAAGGATAGTGTATAAGAATTTTTTGGTTACGACGCCGTGAAAAAGACATTGTTTTTATTAAAAAACATAATTAAAATCTTAATTTACGTTCTAGTTTTTACGATCTAACTTACTCTATTTTATTCAGATGCGTCCTAGAATTCAAGTAAAATATGTTACAGAACACATGAACTATTTAAAAGAAAATATACACGTCATTAAACCTGTGGTTGAAGCTTTACAAATTGTAAGTGGCAAGTGGTATTTGTCTATTGTGTTGTTGTTAAACATAAAGTATATTATTTAAAACCTACAAACGTTAAAGAAAACAATGTTCTTAAACAACATACCAACACACATTGTTAACGCTAGATGTTAATGTTTAATGTCATAAGGCAGTACAAAACAGTAAGACTTGGTTAAAAGATAACAGTGACAACAAATCTGTGACATACTGTGATCTTTGTCAAGAACTTGAATCAGCAACCACAGCCATGTTGGATGTAGCGGAACATATTTTAAGTAAATATTTTAAAATACAAGTGTCTGATATTTTGTTTAATACTCTGGTGTATCAATTAATTATCAATAACTGAATAGAAAATAAAAATAAAATAATAGCAGGAAAGCTTCGAAAATTATGGAGTGTGTCAATATTATTTAATATTTATAAATTTCATTTTATCAAATACCCTTGACATTGCAGTAAATGTAGCTTAAAATTTTATTGAAAAAAAAAGTTAAAAGTATTCATACTTAAGAAGAAAACATAGTTGATTAAAATTTTAGAGATTATTGTTGATTTTTGTTTTTAAGACGAAAATAAAGACACTGTAGGTACTGAAGGAAGGTCATTTTCATCTCAGTCTACACCACAAACTACAGCAACAGAAAAACGTGACAGTAGTGAATCAACAGATCATAATCTTAAAGAACTTCATCAATTACCAGGTATGCACATATAATTTTTTTAAAGTTATCATTAAACCAATAATGGAACAGTGAAATATTTTAATTTTTTTTTTCTAAAAAGAAATGTAGAATCTGATTTACAAACAGTATTACTTCTCCGATTGACTTAAAATTGTATTGCCTTAGATATATTATGTCGCCTTGAGCAGATAAAGACAGCTGTATCTTCTCTACAAGATGAAAATGTCAAGTCTACAGATGACATATCAGAAATAAAACAATGGAGAGACAACTTTGTAACAAAACAGAGTGACATGGGGGTAAACATTGAACAACTGACTAAAAAACAAAAGCAGAATTTTAAAAACATCAGAAAACAAATGAATGAACGAGATAACAAAGTAAAGAAGCTAAACAAAAAATTTGAAAGCTTAAAAGAAAAAGAATCCAAGTCAAACAAACCACTAGAGAAACTGTCTTTAGATATGAAAGAAAATGAAAACAACTTACACAATAAATATTTAAAGTCTTTGGAAATACTGTGTTTACAATAAAACATTATTCCTTGAACTGTAACTAAAATAAAATTCTAAACCCCAATCCACCAGACGAGGACAACATGGATGTCAACAAACCAACGCCATCTTTACCACAGCCTGACACACAGACAACAGCAACATTTCTAACAGTAGAATCACCAAGACAACTCAAGACACAAGTTCAACATACAGCTGGTATGTCTTAGTTTTGTTTGGTATAACAAGTTAAGTAGCTGCATTGTAAGCCGTATACCATGTTAAAGCTTGTACGATTTGATACTGTTTAATTTTAAAAAAAGAAAATTACTTCAATTTTGTTGTGTTTTCTTTTTTAAAGAACCTATTTTTCAATATTTAATTCCTTTAAAATCATAAACTGTATATGTGCGACTATTTTCAGTTGAAGAACATCCTGACCTAGAGCGTAGACTCGCCTATATTGAAACAACACTATCTTCACTACAAGACACACAACACAAGTCTACAGATGACATATCAGAAATAAAACTATGGAGAGACAACTTTGTAACAGAACAGAGTGACATGGGGGTAAACATTGAACAACTGACTAAAAAACAAATGCAGAATTTTAAAAACCTTAGAAAACAAATGAGTGAACAAGATAACAAAGTAAAAGAGCTGAACAAAGAAATTGAAAGTTTAAAAGAAAAAGAATCAAAGTCAAACAAAACACTAGAGAAACTGTCTCAAGATATACAAGAATATAAAAACAACGTACACAAATTAAATAAAGAGATGCAAGATTACACAGACAAAATAGACAGTTTAACAGAAGAAATTAAAAGACATTCAGATCAGATGGTTGCCCTACAAGAAGAGAGTTATAAAATCAAGCTCAATACATTAACACAATTAGAAAAGGTAAATTGCTAATAATATGTGTACACAATTTTACACAAACTGGCCAGATAACTTATTTCACATTTTATAACCAGGTTAAATTAAAACACAAGTTATTAACTTTATGAACAGTTATACTTTTAATATTATTACTAGTTTTAATAAACATGTTTATGTTAGTTATAATGTGCAATAGAAATAATCAAAATTAAAATGCTTTTATACAATCTTCTGTTCTTTAGTACAGTTTAATGATCAAGCTTCTGCAACAGAGATTGATGCCCATTGACAAACTGATTCAAATATTTAACGAGAACTTGGAAGTCAAGGGAAGGAAGAATAACAAAGGTATATATCAAGTAATTTTATTGAAATTTAAATTGTGATGTTATTAATCCGGCATTAAATATTATCACTCTGTTAATAGACAAGTTACTAACGTATGCTTTTTTAAAATAAACAATACATTTAGGTTTATAAAATAACATATTTTCTGTTATAACAAGTTGCCATACCCAGTTAAAATCTTTTTAGCTGGAAAGTATTGAAGATACTGTTTCCAAATTGTCCAAAGATTTGAATCTTATAGATACGTTTGCCATACAAATCTGATTTTTGAAACCAAATCATACAGCCATAACGTGATGTTCGTTAGCCAGAATGACCATAACGTGATAAAGAATGAAACATTTTACTCACCCATAGTGCAGTGGCGGAACTGGAAAAAAAGGGCCACCCCGCAAACACATTTTTAGCCCCCCCCCCAATATATATATATATATATATATATATATATATATATATATATATATATATATATATATATATATATATATATATATATATATATATATATATATATATATATATATATATATATATATATATATACAACCACAAAATACGAACATAGGTAATGCTGGCCTGTTCGGGATTTGAAAAAAATCAATTTAAAGAAAATTTCAACTTCATGTCATTTGTGTAAGTGCATTAGTGTGTTGTGTGAAAATCAGTTTTAATTAATTTTTATAGAAGCCTCTATGTAATCAAGTCGGTCAAAATAATATAAAACATGCCCCCCCCCCCCCCGCATTGCGCGGTCTGGCGGCACTGTAGTTCCGCCCCTGCCATAATGCCATTCTCTAGACCCGTGGGTTGCAAAAAAAGGAAAAATGGGATAGAGTAAATGGTTTAATATGGAAACGTGTAGCGTAAAGTTGAGAAAGAGTAGTGTAATGACGTCACGTTGATTAGCTGAATTTACCACAACCTATATATTCGTGAAATTAAACATGTTCATCATACATATATATGTTTTCCAATCAACAGAGTCACGTGTATGTAACAGATATGCTTGTCATGTACAGCTTGATGAGCCTACACCTGTCAGTGATAAATCAATTATTTCAACATTTAGGGAGGTACGTGAATATAACGGTCAACATTTTAATCGAAGAACAGGAAAATTTGTATCACCACATGATGGTTTATATCTTGTCTGTGTCACTCTACATAAATGGGAAAATAAAAAGATTAGAGTTGGTGTGATGGCTGGAGGCAGGTGGTGTAACTCTATAGAAGTGAAATCTGCCGACACTAGCGCTGTTGGGTCAGTGGTTGTTGACATGAAGAAAGGTCAAGAAATGTACCTTGAAGTGTTTCTCGCTGGTCAAGGCGCAGCTTTATCCTGCCTCAGTAGTTTTACTATCGTAAGTTTATAGAAGTACAACACCAAACATAGTGGATGGTAAATTATCAAAACAATAAAACATATAACCACCATGTTAAACACATGCTAACAACTTTATATGTGTAGACTACATGTCTACAAACAGTTGCATGATTTATATGTTGTTTTTTAAGTCATCATTTTCTTTCAATAGATTTAATGTGATCACTAATTATGTGTTCTACGTAACCACAATGATTGTAAATCAATAACGTTATAGAATATAAGATAACTCTGTTTTGTATGTACTGTCTCAATCACTGTATTTGGGCGTTATGTGTACCGACAATACCATTTAATTTAATTACGTCATGGTTTGTTAAAAATAAAAAATATTTAGTTTTGCTATCGTTTATTGTCTGCCGGTAGTAGTTTTACTATGGATCATTTATAGAAGTATCACAGGAAACATGGAAATTAGAAGTACAATGATCCACCCTTTTTACATACATTTAGTACAATGCAATCTAACCTTAGAAATTTGACACAATTGACTTTAAACAATTCAATGTTGATAGTCGTCATGTATGTAATGGTAATGAATATATGATTTCAAAAGAGGTTTCAGTGTAGTGCTGTACCTGTAGACTTAGTGCCGGCGCTACCTAGAAGGCGAACTAGGCCATCGCCTAATGTGCTATTCATAGGGGCGCAAACATGTTAAATCGCCATTATTAGTGTACCTAATAATTTATTACTTGCTTACATTATATAACTATACACAAAGTTGTAGCGATCTGTTTCGGTGCCCAGGACTGACTATCAATTTTTTGCCCCCTTTTCAAGTTAGACCTATATATACAAATTCACTTTGTTTAAATGCTCCCCCACCTCCCTTATTTGGCAAGGTTGGTGCGCTTTTTACCAAACACATTGCCTTTATATGTTGGTGTCCAACAATTGATGTATAAAACAATTAAATAAACCTGTAATGCCAAGTCGCAATCGACATATTTCGACTCTATGTAATTCAGTAATGAGGTCTTTATATAATAACTTATACGTTTGGTCGCCCCAAACGCCCTCCCTTAACCCCGCCTCTGGTAATATGATATTTGATCTACATCTTTTAATTTCGAACATATCAGACGATTATCTAATTTTAATGTTAATTATTAATCGCCCAGTTGCATGACGCGACGTTCTAAAACACGTGCAATTGTGATTTTTAATAGGGCTTGCATAAAGTCTAGTGTTCACTAATAATGTGTGCAACTTGATGTCACTGAGTTCATATCTCTAACGCTATAGACTATAAGATTTCTTTTTTCATATATATATATATATATATATATATATATATATATATATATATATATATATATGTATAGATATACACGTATATTATACTTCTCTATAATTATGTGAACACCCGGTGTATGGTCTAATCATCTAGTTTAATTTTCGTATGTTTATTGTGTTAAAAATAAACGTATATCTGGAACTACATGATTATGGACTATTTAAAAAAAACAACTAATGTTAAAATAAATTCACTGAACAACCGTTAACATTTTTATTGTTAGGTTAGGTTTGCCTCAAATTGCCTGTCGTCCCTCCTGGGACATAGACCGCTGATAAAAACGTTGATGTGTTTCTGTCCTGGGCTAGTCTCTCCAACTGTCCCCAGGTGTATCCAATTTTCTTTGTATCTTCTTCCAGGTCACATCTCAATGTCTTTCTTCGTCTGCCTCTCCTCCTCCTGTCATTCCAGATGAGGGCCTGTCTTGTTATGCTGGATACAGGCTTCCTGAGTTTATCGCAAATCTAATTTCATTTTCTCTGGAGGATCTCTACTTCAACTTTTATTGTGTATTAAACAAATTAATTTGTTAAGAATTTTTTATTGTGATCACTACTACCTTAAATTTGAGGGAAAAAAATCTCCGTATTAGGATGCTCATTTTCTAAATTCAGTAACATTGTGTCTGTAATATATATATATATATATATATATATATATATATATATATATATATATATATATATATATATATATATATATATATATACATATAAATATAGATATGAATATGTATATAGTCATGAATATGTATTTGAATGTAGTTGTATGGATAAAGGGTTAAGGTGGGTAAGTAGTACCCCTAAGGAAAAATACTAATTGAAAAAAACCTTTAAGTCAGAAACTGTTTATTTTTGTTTTCAGGCAATCGTTATTGTAAATTGGACCCAAAAACATGATTTGAGTGCGTAATTATCAAAGACAAAGGCAGGATAATTAAGATAAAAAAAATTACAAAACGGTACTTCTTACCCGCATATGAACCTGAATAGTACCACTAGAGAGGCAAAGAAGTACCAAAGGATGCAAAACCATGAAATATAATTGTATAACCTTTCTAATCGCAAAATGTCTAGTTCTACGAAAAAAGTTGCCGAGTTAACCCTTTTTTCGTCCCGTGTCTTAAAACCCCGTGGCCAGGCAGACCAATAAATATGTCTGAGGCACCTTACCCCACATAGACTGTCCGTACATAAAACTACGGTATTAAAATGAACGACACTAGAAGCACTAATCGTTCCGGTTATGTCTGCGCACACAAAAACATTTTTTGTTATTTTTATCATTTGTATTTTACGACGAAAATAATATTTGAAAATTTCAACAATCGTCACTCTACCAAGATCTATGTCCACACCTAGCTACGTCTGAAAAATGTGTCTACCTACGGGAAGGACTTGCATACCAAGAACTATCGGCGATGATTCATGAACACATGTCATTCAAAAATAAAATTAATCTTGTTTTTATATTCGTTGTCTTCATTTTCGTTTAGATTCTGTTTTGTGTACTTTAGCACAGGGAATGAGGGTTTAATTGAAAGAGTTGAGACATCTTTGCCAACAATTATTTAAGTTGTATGTAGCTAGTTATTCTCTTTTTTTCGGCGCGCTGAAATGTTGCTTAACTGTATAAGATCATTTCTTTATTATGACCCTAAACAACTTCTCTGCATGACCGAGATGCTTTTCGATACCTCGGTTTCTTGCAAAAGCATATTGATTATATAGAAAATGTATGTGTTTAAAACTTATAAAGCTTTACTAAGTTAAATGCAAATGAAGAAAAAAAAAAGCCAATTTCTGATTCACGTTTGTAATCCTCAAAATTTACAATACAAAACTTATTTTATTAATGAAATCGAGTGGATTTGTCGTCACCATAGAACATTAAAAACAAAGCACGCATATCATCTACAGCACTGCACAGTTGAAGACAGCTTAACATTACATCACACATTGACAATACTCAATAAATCGGGAGTGATCTCCCCTAAACTATCTCGAATATCCTAATTTATAAAAGCCCAATGTGCGCACATCTCTCTCTCTCTCTCTCTCTTTCTCTGTCCGCAAAAAATTTTCGCCGGACATCACGTCAGAATCGGCAGCGATATATCGAGAATTTTTTACGGACTTTTGTTGAAAATAATATGTTAGATGTTTTAAATGTATAACCACAATTTTATTTAAAGAAGAAAAATAAAAATTTAAGGCGTATTCGAATGTAGAGAAACAGTATTATTTATGCAACCGGAAAAGCATTAATATATGTGAAAAAGAACGCATAAAACTGTGACGTCACTATTGCTTATACATTAACTATTGACGTCATCTGCCTAAATAGCGAAGATGTTAGTGTACATTAAACTACGCAGGTGGTGCGGGTTCGAGACACACCAAGTCAACTTGGTTAATGTATTTATTTTTATTATGCTCGGGCTAAACTTAAAAAAAAATTCTTTTAGGAATCTAGATCTAGATCTAGATTGTCGGGTGTCCGATAGGGCACTTCCCGGCGCCGCAGGCGCTTCAAATTTGGCAGGATCTTGCCTTGGGGCGACAGAACACGGGGGCCGGTTGGCCGAAAAGTCTACGATGAGGGGGTCAAAACTGACCTCGACTGACCGGTACCTTATATGAGCTATAAATCGAAAAAAAATGTCCACGGATTAAACCTCTTCATAACTCTTGAGGTCGTAGACCGACCCTCGGGCGAATTAATTAAGCATGCAAATTCTCAATGTTTTCGAAAGCCTAAGCGAAGCTGGGCAGCATGCCTAGTTCTTATATAACTTGGAATATAGACATGATTTTTAATTACTTAAACTTTTAAAAATAGAAAAGAATCTCATAGAAAAAAGAAATGCGCACCAAGCGAACGACAAAACAACATGTGCATAATAGTCCGCTATATTATTAGTACTTTATAAGTTTACATGCGTTTTTTTTAGAAATCGGAAATAGCGTAAATTAGTATTTCCGACCAACGGAAATTACTCAAAATTCGACAGAAGGTAGAGAATTAGATCTTTTACTTACACTTGAAACGTCATTTATCTATCTGAAATAGTACTCAAGTTATTGGCTTTTGAAAAATTCAAAGTAGAAAAAGTATCACTTCCGGTTATCGGAAATCGCTCAAAAGTTGATACGGATCTACGATTTTGATAAAATACTTATATATGAAATTTCATCAACATAGCTGTAACGGTACTCAAGTGATTGTGTTTACACACAGACAGAAAGACACACACACACACAGACAGAAACACAGACATACGGACACGATTGCAAAATTATGTTTTTCCGTGTCAGTGAGGTGTAAAACGTCGAGATTTGTAAACATCTCGATTTTTTTTTTTGCACGATTACAAGACTTTCTATACTTCGTATATACGAGAAAGTAAAAACTGACTTACCGCTACTCTTTTACGATCGATTTAGCTATTGCTTGGTGTCAGAACATATATTTATCATCTATAATAATTTAAACACGTTCTCTATCGGTCAGGTCAAGCAAAATTGGGGTGGTACGAGTTGCTAACCGGTACGGGTTACCCACATTTACCCTACATATGTATGTAAGCAAACTGCCTAACCATTGTCTAAGCTACATTATAATTCTATACCCCAATGCGTGTGATGCATACATTTGAATACATGTAAACAAAATTAACTACACTGCGTACAACCTTATTATAAATGTAGGAAGGGTACACCTGTTTAAAACCTTAGAACAATTTGAACATACAGACCTATAGTAATTTGCGGGATGTATTGTGTGTGTGTGTGTGTGTGTGTGTGTGGTGATCGATACCTGTGTTTGATTAGGGATAAGTAATGGTTGATTCAGTCAGATGGGTTAGGAATTAGCTAAGAAAGTAGGCCTAGTTGTTACATTTGACTAAACTCAGCTTTGCTTCAGTTTGTTTTCATTTCGTTCTGTTTTTTTGGAGACATTTTCTATACGAAAACAAAAACGATAGCTTACATGATTTTACACAACAAACAGTATTATCTTTCTTGACGGTTAAGAAGATGATTCACGTTAAAATTGACAGCTCACAATAAAGTCAAATAGCTCAGCTGAAGTGAAATAAAATCTACTGCCAAATGTTTACAATCATTGAAGTAACTCTGTCCTGTCTTCTTTAGTGTGCGCAACACATGGGTCTAATTGAACCTTCCTGTAAATAAAAATCATGTTTGTCTGTTTTATTTAAATATGGGTTGTAAAAATATTGAAATAATCTGTTCTCGAGGCTATTATTGGTAAATATTACGCAATACCCGGATTCTTTGGGGATGGTCCTGGACTGATGAATTATAAAATGAACTAAAACGATTACCAGAAAACAAAAACTCTTCGTGGATTTGAATCTAATGTCTAGGGTAAAAACAAATACGAAGACCTTCTGCAACTAATAAATCTTTTAATCAATCTAAAACATTCTAAAAAGCTAACAAGCCTAAATAATAAAATACTATGCAAAACAAATAGAAATATACAATAATGAAAAACCCAACTTACAATATCTGGAATAACACATTGAACCTACTAACACTAGATAAGGTACCTAAGTAATCAACACAACCTACACGTTATTAAAATGAGACACAGAAAAGTAATAAATACACTGGACTTGGAGATAATTACTGCTTAATCTAGAAAATTCAACATGGCGTCTTGGCTCTCTCTCTCTCTCTTTCTGTCTAGTGGGCTCCGTGTGCTAGGAAAATTCCTCCTTTACATACTACTCTGAAATTATGGGATGTTGACACCAATGTTAAGGACCATTGGGGGATGGAGCCAAAACACGAGTCACACGAACTTAGTTGTGAATACTATCACATGAGTCTGGTGGACCATTTCTTTGGCTTGAACAACAGATAGCTTAAGGCCATTTAATATATTAATAAAATTAACAATAAATAAAAAGAAGACCTAAGTAGGTCACAAGGCGATATGTTCATTTTAATTTTAAAATTTATGCTATAACAAAGACAAACAAATTAAACAAAACAATGTCTAATGTGTCCATAACTTCAAACATCACGTCATTATCACCGAGTTCAGGTAAGGGAGCTCATTATTACTTACACTAAAGTCACATGTTCGGTCCTTTGACTCATTAGCTGGAGACAACAACAAATCTCGCAGAAAAAAAATATACATGAAACAACTGCTGTCTTGTACTTTGTTCTTCAATGTACACATGCTATGGAAGAAAATGAAAAAAAAAAAGAAATTTAGACACAGTTTTAGCGTCCCATAGAGCGCACGTCATGTTGACACGTAATACTAAATTTCACAATTTAGATCACTGCTGTATTACGTATGTGGAATTATGCAAATTAATTATGACAAGACTAGATCGACTCATTACCTCAAAGAGTGTAAAGAAAGGTGAAGATAATTAACTACAGACTAACACAATGTTCTTCTTACAATAGTTCAGCTTGTGATGTATTTTTTTTAACAATTACATATGACCATTTTTTCTATTTGTTCTTTATCTATATCAGCGTGAAGAACCATTAAAACCTTTATTTCTATTTGTTCTATATCAGGGGTCTCCAAACTTTTCAGTCCGAGGGCCGCATTAACTATCAAATTTCAGTTCGGGGGCCAGTTCCTTTCAGGCATGTCTTTTATTTGTCTGGGCAAAGTTTCTCAGCCATCATCAGCAAACGTTTTTCTGTGGACAAAAAGATCTCCGCGGGCCGGATGAGAGGACATCGCGGGCCGCATCCGGCCCACGGGCCGTGGTTTGGAGACCCCTGTTCTATATCTCTAACAGTGTTTAGAACCAGTGTTATCTGCCCAAACGTGTCTGTGTGAGCTAAACCAAATCGTGTGTGTGATGTTTTTTACTCCCAAATTCACTCGTATGTTTGAACAAATGTACACACACACACACAAACACACTGGAACACATACGTACACACACGTCATTTTGTGTTGTGTGTTATATAGTGTAATATAACTTTTGTTTCGTAACCGATAACATAAAATGCATTTTGCAACATTTTTTAGATATATTCAACACAAAGTTTCTTATTTATTATGGAATATGGCACTCTAAACCAGAAGTATAATGAAAAACATACACAATTTAGTGATATAAGAGCATTAATAATACAATATGTATCACTAATATAACATTTATGTTTATATTTGTAGAAAGAATGTTAAACAACAGGAATTTTTTAACGTGAAAACTATCATTTTACACATAGTCATAAAATTATATCTCAACTACGCTATGATCAAACTTCGATGTGTCGTGTTCAGTCTGATGAGGTAAGATACATGTCCTCTATTGTGAAGTGAGGTACATGCCATCTATTGTCTGAAGTGTGGTAAGGTACATATGATCTATTGTTAGGTACATGAGGTAAATAAAGTATAACACAATATAAAACAGTTTTAACATAATCTTACGCAAGCTATATGTGAACAATTGTAAAAGCATTTAAAATATATCAGGATATGCAAATATTGCTTAACGTATTTTGCGTTAAAACAGTAATTCTTGAATTGGAAAAAAAAAACAAATGAAAACATGTTTACAAGGAAACTTATCGAGATATTACAGACACTGTATTTTATTATATTGGTTACTTCCCCTGGTTTTTTTACATCTATACTATACAGTGTTCTAAAAATAAACATGATAAATGAATGCGTCTACATAAAACAATCATTAACTAGATGTTACAAATGTGTATTTTACCAACTTTCTCTGGACGATTTTAAACTCAGTTATACTGGTACAGTCTCTAATGCTTTAGACATGATCCAGTTTAGGCAGACATAAGTGTAATTCGTTGATTATTGTATCGACATAAATAACGCAAGATTAACAAGGACTCAGACTACGCTGTAGAAATGAAAGTTTACATTTTAAGTCCTTAAACAGAACTTGGATGATGGTTGCATTTTGAACATGGTGGTTACATTTTTTATTTTATGGAGAATGTATCATACACCATGTTTCGTGTTGTACTTCTATAAACTAACGATAGTAAAACTACTGTAGTAGGATAACTTTGCGTCTTTGTCTGCGAGAATTACATACAAGTAAAGTTCTTGACCTTTCTTCATGTCAACAACCACTGACCCAGCAGCGCTAGTGTCGGCATATTTCACTTCTACAGACATACACCACATCCCTCCAGCCCACACAGCAACTCTAATCCGTTTGTATTCATGTTCATGTAGAGTGACACTGACAAGATATAAACCATCATCTGGTGATACAAATGTCCCAGTTGTTTGATCAAAGTGATGGCCGTTAAATTCACGAATGTCTCTAAACGTTGATATCTTTGAATCAATGACTGCATGTGTATTACTTGCCAGCTGTGCATGACAAACATATCCCTTGTATACCGGTGTGTCTGTTGGATAGAAAATTATTTATGGCTCAATTTTTCAGTTTCTACACATTGTATACCACGCTTGAAATGTTTATTTTTATTAATGTAAAATAAACAATTTCCTTGATAAAATATTCAACACATTAGCCAACCTAAAAACATAGTTTTTGTGTCAAAGTTGGTATTTTGAAGTGCACAATACTGACACTAATTTAACGTACCACTCTAAGTATTTAAAACAATACAATGTATTTATCTTGTATTTAATTCATGACGCTGAAAACAACCTCACATTGTTTTATTTGTTACAAATTACCGTATATATGAATAAAGTGGAATTGATCTGCTTTAAAAAATTTCTTGTATATTCTTATCTAACATTAAGGGGGATGGCAATGCCATTACAATCAGGCTATGTTTTAATACTTACTTTTTAAAAAAAGAAAAATAATTGAAAACTACTGGAACGGAAAATAATATGTGTACAATAGAACGGGACATTAGTATTTAGAAACTTTGATTAATGACTAAAATATTGATTTAAGATAAAATTAATTCAAATTTTATTTCATATTGTATGATCCTTGAGTCTCGACCTACATGACAAGTTTAAAATAAATCGGTCTGGTGGAAGTGATATATGTTGATACATCGGAATTAGCGTATAGTATTACTTCCGTGTCAGGAAACACTCAAAAGAATCAAGAAAATAAGATCTTATATCTAGGTATAAAACTCCACATAACTAAAACGGTACTTTCTCTATTGTATTTTAAAGAACAAAAATAATGTACCCATTACGGCTAACTGAGACAAATAAAATCAGCAATCTAAGAATATTTTTAAAAATATATTATGAAATTTCGAGAACCCGGCTGAAACAGTACATTTGTTATTGTGTTCAAATGGTAATGAAAAATTACTTCAAGGTAAACGTCGTTCAAAATTTTAAAGAAATAAAGGCAAACAATGTAATACTTGTACGTGAAATTTCGTCAAAAAGCTTTTAAAGTGTAAACGGAATGACACATTAATGAAATTCGTTAACCAAATGAAAACGGTACTTAAGCTATCTTGTTCATAGACAAATACGGACCAATTTGCAAAATCAAGTTGTTCCGTTCCGGAAGGATGTAAAACTTAACATTTGTTAAAACAAACACCTGACGGAAACCCACGGGTCTAGAGACTGGCACTATGGGTGAGTAAAATGTTCCATTCTTTATCACGTTATGGTCTGTCTGGCTAACGAACATCACGTTATGGTCTGTCTGGCTATCGAACATCACGTTATGGTCTGTCTGGCTAACGAACATCACGTTATGGTCTGTCTGGCTATCGAACATCACGTTATGGTCTGTCTGGCTAACGAACATCACATTATGGTCATTCTGGCTAACGAACATCACGTTATGGTCTGGCTAACGAACATCACGTTATGGTCTGTCTCGCTACGAACATCGCGTTGTGGCCTGTCTGGCTAGCGAACATCACGTTATGGTCTGGCTAACGAACATCACGTTATGGTCTGTCTGGCTAACGAACATCACGTTATGATCTGTCTGGCTAACGAACATCACGTTAAGATTTGCCTGGCTTACGAACATCATCTTATGATCTGTCTGGCTAAAGAACATCACGTTATGGTCTGTCTGGCTATCGAACGAGTATATTGGTGTAGAGAAAAAGAAAATATTGAAAAGGGGTAAACAACAGTAAGAAACTAATAATCGATTTGTTAGCGTTAAGTAACCTAATCATCTATATAATGTATTAGTTGTAAAAATGTGTAGAATTATCATTTAATTATCACTGTTAAAATTCGTTTAAAAAATAGTCCTTTAAAAAAAACTTACCAGTTTGATTGAAATCGTTGGATAACTTGTAAACAATATTTTCAATATTTCTCAGCTAAATTAGATTGTAAACAAAAAGTTAAGTGTAAATTAAAGTGTAAAGAAATCAAATACAATAATCACTTCGAAAAATATGCAATGGTTCCATTCATTTTAGTTTGATATAACAACTCGTAAGAATTTAACATGATTTAATGCATATGTTTTTAAGAATATAAATTTAAGTTGCAAGCGATTTACGTAAACATAGGATAGGATCTACAATGGGGGGACGGGGGCAGGCCGTTTAGAGGCCCTAGTCCTGCTAAAACACAATGTTATTCTTTTTATGAATAATGTTTTTCGTGCAGATTGATTGTGGTTTTGTAAAAAACAAACTTGTCTACTTTAGCAGAGATCGTTCTGCAGTAACTAACACATAGAGTTGAGTACAATCATAATGTTAAAATCTACATGTGCTGCAGATTAAAATATATAGACGGACTTTTACACTACTACCGTGACTTAGTGTCCTAGTAATAGGGGTCTAATAGGGGTACTAGTAAATATAGTTTTGTACAAATGAAATTAAAAATCAATTGCCTTACACAATAATCGGCAAACAAAAAGTGTTATGCAAATATTTTTAAAACATGAATATTTCAAACCTGAAATGAGTTGGAACATAATGTTATCTACTTTTTATTTTCTCGGGATGGGTATAATTTGCAATTAAATAGGGTTAAATTAATCATGACATAGATTAATTAATGCCAAAGCAGGTTTTTAAGATAGGAACCTAACTTTTTTTGGAGTGGGACCTTTTTTTTTCTAGTTCCGCCACTGCGTAAACGTGTATTACTTAACAGAGCGTAATGATCGATGAAGATTTTCAATGATGCAATTACTTTATTTATTAAAAACCATTACACAGGGTGCATACCTTCTTTATTTTTTCTTCTCTAGTATCCAAGTTTTGGTTAAAGATTTGAATCAGTTTGTCCATGGGCATCAATCGTTGTTGTACAAGCTTGTACACAACAGTGTGCTTAAGAGTTGAAGATTGTAATAGAAATATAAAATTACGTGACTATTTTTATTGCATTTTATACCATAATAATAAACCTTTACATAAGTAATACAACCAAACGTATTACTGTTGGAAAGTTCAGTCAACTAATTTTAAATTTAAATTTGAAGTAAACTAACTATAGAATAGGTATAATCTTGTGTTAAAATAATTAAAAATTTAAAAGTTTACTTTTGATCGCAGCTTCTCAAAGTTGGTTGATACATTGACTATGATTTTATTGTTATCTTCTTGTAAAGAAACAATCTCATCAGAATGTCTTTTAATTTCTTAAGTTATACTGTCTGTTTTATCTGAATGATCTTGAATCTCTTTATTTATTTTGAGCAAGATGTTTTCATATTCCTTCATATCTAGGGACAGTTTCTCTAGTGTTTTGTTTGACTTGGTTTCTGTTTCTTTTAAACTTTCAATTTCTTTGTTCAGCTCCTTTACTTTGTTATCTTGTTCACTCATTTGTTTTCTAAGATTTTTAAAATCTTGATTTTGTTTTTTAGTCATTTGTTCAATTTTCAACCTCATATCGCTCTGTTCTGTTACAAAGTTGTCTCTCCATTGTTTTATTTCTGATATGTCTTCTGTAGATTTGTCATTATCATCATGCACAAACGATAAGGCTGTCTCTATCAATTCAAGTCTACTGAAGTCTTGTAGAGAAGAAATGGCTGTCTCTATTAACTTAAGTCGACTCAATATTTCTAAATCAGAATAAAGTTAATGGAAGTATAATTTTTATTTTTTACTTCCTCGTACAGAGTTATAGAGGAAGTATTGTAATCGTACTGAATAATTAAAACATATTTTGACAGTTTTGTCGTTTAACACATCATTATTTTATGAAATGCTGAACATAAAGGACACATTGTAATCCTCTAACTAAAAAAATAGATATTTGACTAGTTCGACATTTTTCATCTTTACGGAAACGAAAATCATGATTTTGCTAATGTGTCCGTGTTTCTGTGAATCAATAAATAGAAAAAAAAAAACAAGAAAACCGTTTCAGGTATGTTTACGAAATCTATAATAAAAACGGCCGGGTAGTGTGTTAGTCAGTCAGTCAGTCACTCCGTTCGTCATCGCTATAAATTTTTGAACCATGAAAGTAAATATCACATGCCGTGATTTTACATGCATCTCACTGTCGTATTACAATTGTTGGTCTATTTATGTAACGTTTTTTTTATCTTCAGCAAACTTTTTTGGCTCGATTGCATAAATAAACAAAATAACGTCAAAAAAGTATTAAATACATGCACATCAATGTCAAATAATATTTTTGCTTATATGCCTAGAAAAAATGGAGGCATGTTAATATAGTAGATTTGAAAAAAAATGTCATTGTCAATTTTCTAAGAAGTAAAAAATATTAATTAACTAGATGTGTAATTATTTTTTTTTAATTAATCAATATTTCGTTTATAATGTACTAATATTCCTATCAATAATGCACGTTCTGTAGGACTATACGTTCATTTTTTGCGCAGTTATTTTTTTATAATATTGTATTTATTTAAAAAAAGGTATTGATAGAAAATAATTAAAAAACATTTCAGATTGCACTGACAGGTCCATCCGTTTACTGCGACATAAGAGTGTACGATAAACTTAAATAAAGATAACTTCTACTTTTAAAAAAAAATAATAATCAATGTTTCTTTGAAGAAATTATATTGTATCTCGAAAAATTTATATTTTTTACATTTATTTTAATTTACAAAAACAATTGTTCGAACCGATTTGTTGTTGATTTTGTATTTCCGATTCACATTTGCCAGGTGTTTCTGTTGCTGTAGTTTGCTGTGTAGACAATGATAAGAATGGTGTCCCTTCCTTGGCATCTACTTGTTCTTTATTCTTGTCTGTTTGAAAGGAAACAAGATCATATTGTTTGATTACAAACTTAATTCCGCAAATAATCTCAGTTTCTACCTACTTTAAACTTGAAATTTTTATTTGGTTTTATACCACAATATAATATCCGAGCTGTCATTCCTAATAATAAATAAACCGGGAGTGATCTCCCCTAAACTTTCTCGAATATTCTTATATAAAATAACAGGGGATGGGAACTCGGGCTATAGACATGATTTTTAATCCATTTTAAATACTTAAAGTTTTAAAAATAGAATAAAATCTCGTAGACAAATTAATTGCACACCAAGTGAACGCGAAATAAAAAAGCGCATAATAGTGCGCAATATTATTATTACTTTTAAAATTTACATTAGTTTTTTGAGAAATCGGAAGTAGCGTAAAGTACTACTTCCAGTCAACGGAAATGACTCAAAATTTAATAGAAGGTAGAGAATTAGATCTTTTACTTACGTATGAAATTTCATTTATCTATCTGAAATAGTACTCAAGTTATAGGCTTTTGAAAAATTCAAAGTAGGAAAAGTACCACTTCCGGTTATCGGAAATCGCTCAAAAGTTGATACGGATCTACGATTTTGATTAAATACTTATATATGAAATTTCATCAACCTAGCTGTAACGGTACTCAAGTTATCGTGTTTACACACGGACACACACACACACACACACACACACACACACACAGACACACAGACATACGGACAAGATTGCAAAATTATGTTTTTCCGTATCAGTGAGATGCAAAACGTCGAGATTTGCAAAAATCTCGATTTTTTTTTTTTGCACGATTACAAGACTTTCTCTATACTTCGTATATACGAGAAAGTAAAAAGGAACAGTGTGGCCTAGAGAGTGCTTGGCTGCTAACCAAAAGTCTCGAGTTCAAATCTAGATGTAATGTTGCTTCGACTCTAAGTAGCCTAATCTTGGTGCCATAATACATAAATCTAAATACATTTAGTAACCCACTGTTAATTAAAGTTTACTTATAATGTGTGACGCTGCATCCAACATAGCCGTGGTCGCTGATTCAAGTTCCTGGCATATCTCTATGTAGGGGACAGACGGGGTGTCATTTTTATCTTGTATCCACGCTTTACTTTTCTCTACGACCTGGTAATGTTAAATGGGTTAAAGTAGAAATAAACTGAGTATGATAGAACATGCATGTATAAGATAGAGTTTTTGGTGATTTAAAAAAAATGAATAACAAAAGATCACGAATTATTTCATACACGTTTCATAATTTCAAGGGCAGGTTCCATATCTCGTATCTGTTCCTCCAAATATGCTACATGTTCTCCAACAAGCTTGATTTGAATTCTAGGAGCCATCTAAACAAAGAAATGACGTCCATGTTTTTTTAAAACGTGCCTTTTAACATAGTCTAAAGGGTGCCTACTATTTAATAATTATCATTAAAAAAGTTTTTAAAAACCCACGTTTTCTGATTGAACTAAAAAGTAGAAAATAAATACTATACATCACAATAATGCTAGCGATCACTCTACTATAAGCGATGAAAAACGTGGGGCGCCGAAGTAAAAGTTTTTTATCTGTCATTGTTAATATAAGATGTAAAAGTTATATTACTATTGATTTGATAATACTATGTACTTTTATTAGGGAGGTTGTAGAGAGTCAACAGTATTAGAAACTGTAAGAAAATCACGGCGCCCCACGTTTTTCGTCGCTTATATTAGAGTGATCGCTTGCATTATTGTGATGTATAGTAATTATTTTCTACTTTTTAGTTCAATCAGAAAACGTGGGTTTTTTAAAACTTTTTTAATGATAATTATTTTCTACTTTTTAGTCTTGGACTGTTTTTTTTTTCATTAAAATTTTGCTATCGATTTTATCTTTTCGCATTCACTTTTTTTTGGTTAAACGAAGATAACTAGTAAAAAACACGTGCCTTGAACCCGTGTCGAGTGGGTTAGCAATCGTGTGCCCAACCACTCGACCATATCGTCTCCCCCATACTGGCCAGCAGTTGTTACGTTCCGGTTGTTTGGACACAAACACCGCGTGACTACTACTCAGTAAGCGAAAAGAGGGAGAGTACCGAACCTTGTTTTCATCACATTACAATTACTGGGTTATGTCCCCTTTTCCCACGTTTTTTTTACAAATATATAGGGGGTCTAAAATGATCAATAACATGTTTCCATGGATCAATTTAGTAATAATAACAATTGAATATTCTATTGTCACCGGAAACAAAGCTTCCCTGAAAATTTCAGCGCGCTTGCTAACTGGGAAGTGCCCGGAATTTCGATCGCAAGATTTGATTGGAAAACCAAACAAACAGACGCGAAAGCAAGTTAAAGAAAACGTGGGCAAAACTAGTCTGCCATGTCTTCATATTTCATCCGCAACTGTAATATTATTGGCTACATGGACACATGTAGACGGTGGACACATGTAGACGGTGGACACATGTAGACGGTGGGTAGACGGTGGACACATGTAGACGGTGGACACATGTAGACGGTGGACACATGTAGACGGTGGACACATGTAGACGGTGGGTAGACAGTGGACACATGTAGACGGTGGACACATGTAGACGGTGGACACATGTAGACGGTGGACACATGTAGACAGTGGGTAGACGGTGGACACATGTAGACGGTGGACACATGTAGACGGTGGACACATGTAGACGGTGGACACATTTAGACGGTGGACACATGTAGACGGTGGACACATGTAGACGGTGGACACATTTAGACGGTGGACACATGTAGACGGTGGACACATGTAGACGGTGGGTAGACGGTGGACACATGTAGGCGGTGGACACATGTAGACGGTGGACACATGTAGACGGTGGACACATGTAGACGGTGGGTAGACGGTGGACACATGTAGACGGTGGACACATGTAGACGGTGGACACATGTAGACGGTGGACACATGTAGACGGTGGACACATGTAGACGGTGGACACATGTAGACGATGGACACATGTAGACAGTGAGTAGACGGTGGACACATGTAGACGGTGGACACATGTAGACGGTGGACACATGTAGACGGTGGACACATGTAGACGGTGGACACATGTAGACGGTGGACACATGTAGACGGTGGACACATTTAGACGGTGGACACATGTAGACGGTGGACACATGTAGACGGTGGACACATGTAGACGGTGGACACATGTAGACGGTGGACACATGTAGACGGTGGACACATGTAGACGTTGGAAACATGTAGACGATGGACACATGTAGACAGTGAGTAGACGGTAGACACATGTAGACGGTGGACACATGTAGACGGTGGACACATGTAGACGGTGGACACATGTAGACGGTGGACACATTTAGACGGTGGACACATGTAGACGGTGGACACATGTAGACGATGGACACATGTAGACAGTGGGTAGACGGTGGACACATGTAGACGGTGGACACATGTAGACGGTGGACACATGTAGACGGTGGGTAGACGGTGGACACATGTAGACGGTGGACACATGTAGACGGTGGACACATGTAGACGGTGGACACATGTAGACGGTGGACACATTTAGACGGTGGACACATGTAGACGGTGGACACATGTAGACAGTGGGTAGACGGTGGACACATGTAGACGGTGGACACATGTAGACGGTGGACACATGTAGACGGTGGGTAGACGGTGGACACATGTAGACGGTGGACACATGTAGACGGTGGACACATGTAGACGGTGGACACATGTAGACGGTGGACACATTTAGACGGTGGACACATGTAGACGGTGGACACATGTAGACGTTGGACACATGTAGACGATGGACACATGTAGACAGTGGGTAGACGGTGGACACATGTAGACGGTGGACACATGTAGACGGTGGACACATTTAGAAGGTGGACACATGTAGACGGTGGACACATGTAGACGATGGACACATGTAGACAGTGGGTAGACGGTGGACACATGTAGACGGTTGACACATGTAGACGGTGGGTAGATTGTGGACACATGTAGACGGTGGACACATGTAGACGGTGGACACATGTAGACGGTGGACACATGTAGACGATGGACACATGTAGACAGTGGGTAGACGGTGGACACATGTAGACGGTTGACACATGTAGACGGTGGGTAGATTGTGGACACATGTAGACGGTGGACACATGTAGACGGTGGACACATGTAGACGGTGGACACATGTAGACGATGGACACATGTAGACAGTGGGTAGACGGTGGACACATGTAGACGGTGGACACATGTAGACGGTGGACACATGTAGAAGGTGGACACATGTAGACGGTGGACACATGTAGACGGTGGACACATGTAGACGGTGGACACATGTAGACGGTGGACACATGTAGACGGTGGACACATGTAGACGGTGGACACATGTAGACGGTGGACACATGTAGACGGTGGACACATGTAGACGGTGGACACATGTAGACAATGGACACATGTAGACAGTGGGTAGACGGTGGACACATGTAGACGGTGGACACATGTAGACGGTGGACACATGTAGAGTGTTGACACATGTAGACGGTGGACACATGTAGACGGTGGACACATGTAGACGGTGGACACATGTAGACGGTGGACACATGAAGTCGGTGGACACATGTAGACGGTGGACACATGTAGACGGTGGACACATGTAGACGGTGGACACATGTAGACGATGGACACATGTAGAAAGTGGGTAGACGGTGGACACATGTAGACGGTGGACACATATAGACGGTGGACGTCACATGTAGACGGTGGACACATGTAGACGGTGGACACATGTAGACGGTGGACACATGTAGATGGTGGACACATGTAGACGGTGGACACATGTAGACGGTGGACACATGTAGACGATGGACACATGTAAACAGTGGGTAGACGGTGGACACATTTAGACGGTGGACACATGTAGACGGTGGACACATGTAGACGGTGGACACATGTAGACGGTGGGTAGACGGTGGACGTCACATGTAGACGGTGGACACATGTAGACGGTGGACACATGTAGACGGTGGACACATTTAGACGGTGGACACGTGTAGACGGTGGACACATGTAGACGGTGGACACATGTAGATGGTGGACACATGTAGACGGTGGACACATGTAGACGGTGGGTAGACGGTGGACGTCACATGTAGACGGTGGACACATGTAGACGGTGGACACATGTAGACGATGGGTAGACGGTGGACACATGTAGACGGTGGACACATGTAGACGGTGGACACATGTAGACGGTGGACACATGTAGACGGTGGACACATGTAGACGGTGGACACATGTAGACGGTGGGTAGACGGTGGGTAGACGGTGGGTAGACGGTGGACACATGTAGATGGTGGACACATGTAGACGGTGGACACATGTAGACGGTGGGTAGACGGTGGGTAGACGGTGGGTAGACGGTGGGTAGACGGTGGACACATGTAGATGGTGGACACATGTAGACGGTGGGTAGACGGTGGGTAGACGGTGGGTAGACGGTGGACACATGTAGATGGTGGACACATGTAGATGGTGGACACATGTAGACGGTGGGTAGACGGTGGACACATGTAGACGGTGGGTAGACGGTGGGTAGACGGTGGGTAGACGGTGGACACATGTAGATGGTGGACACATGTAGATGGTGGACACATGTAGACGGTGGGTAGACGGTGGACACATGTAGATGGTGGACACATGTAGACGGTGGGTAGACGGTGGGTAGACGGTGGGTAGACGGTGGACACATGTAGATGGTGGACACATGTAGATGGTGGACACATGTAGACGGTGGGTAGACGGTGGGTAGACGGTGGGTAGACGGTGGACACATGTAGATGGTGGACACATGTAGACGGTGGACACATGTAGACGGTGGACACATGTATTATTTATATAGAAAATGTATACTTTCAACAGTGTCGGCGCCCCACCGAAGAAAGTCACCCGCCCCCCCCCCCCGAAAATTTCATGTCCCCCCCCCCCCCCCCCCCCACGGAGAAAAAAAGTCTGGAAGAAACACTGAATTCATACATAACACCCATCCCTGAAGACCTACATTCCTAACAATCAAACTATTAATCTAATTTTATTTTTTTACTTCTACAATCAGAAACAAAATTTCTACATTTCAGACATGGATAATATGCCTGCAGTTATAATAAACGACACTGTCCTTTGCTACCGGAAATAAAAATAGTGTAAGGATGTCTGGGTTTGTGGATCGAATAACCTCTACAGTGTTACACAATTAATTATGACACAAGTTATGTATTGTTACCTACGTTAATTTTACCTCAGTACTTTAAGTTTGTCCGTTTCATGGCATTAAATTGTTAGTTTCGTTTGACCAGACTACTGTGACGCCGATCGAAACTGAAACAAATTAACGGGAAATCCCGATATTACCTCTTTTTACACGTAACACATTTGTTTAGAAAATAAACGTTACATTGATATAAACTCTTTGAAACATATTACCAAACTTTTATATATACATATTTTAAATTGTAAGTATGATTTGAAATGTGATTTTTAATTAAGAAACAGATCTTTGAGCTAAAGAAAATTTAATTCACAAAAATGTGCAATGCTATATCTCAATTTATATGTCACTGACCTATCAGAAAACTAAAATGTACACACTAACCTACACCTAGGTAATTTACAGACCAATGTTCAACATGTAGGTCACTTACAAAACCACTACATGTAGGTCAATAACACACTAAAATAAAACAAGTAGGTCACTAACACACCAATCAACAACATGTAGACTACTAACACACCAAACCACAACATGTAGGTCACTAACACACCTAACGACAACATGTAGGTCACTAACAAACGAACACTTAAATTGTAGGTCACTGACAACATACACTGCAGTTGTGTCAATAGCTCAACATTACACACCAGGTGGGTTACTAACGCACAAACACACTGCAGCTGTGTCAATACCTCTACAGCACACAACAGCTAAGACACAAGCACATCAACACACCAAGTGGGACTTTGTATGTATATTTCCATATTCTCCTTGTCGGTGTGTTTGATGAAATGTTTCTTCAAGTTTCACTACATTATTTGTAATTCTGTATGTATGTTTGGTTTTTATAACAACAGATGAAAATCAAGAACACGTAGATGTCGAGAAAGGAAAGCCATCTTTTTCTAAGCCTACACCACAAATTACAGCAACAGAAGAACTCGACCATAGTGAATCAACACATCAAGTTAATAAACATGTTCTACAAATATCGGGTATACATTATTTTTAAACTAAAACAACTATAGTTAAACTTAAAATGTAAACGTTTGTACTTTATTATTTTTTAAAGAGAGAGTATTTATTAACTATAAATTTGCCGGTAACTTTATTTCATTCTGGTATAGAAATATTGAGTCGACTTGAGCAGATAGAGACAACCTTATCTTCTCTACAAGACGTCAGTCGACTTGAGCAGATAGAGACAGCCATATCTTCTCTACAAGACGTCAGTCGACTTGAGCAGATAGAGACAGCCATATCTTCTCTACAAGATGCCAATGACAAGTCTACAGATGACATATTAGAAATAAAACAATGGAGAGACAACTTTGTAACAGAACAGAGTGACATGGGGGTAAACATTGAACAACTGACTAAAAAACAAAAGCAGAATTTTAAAATCCTTAGAAAACAAATGAGTGAACAAGATAACAAAGTAAAGGAGCTGAACAAAGAAATTGAAAGTTTAAAAGAAAAAGAAACCAAATCAAACAAAACACTAGAGAAACTGTCTCTGGATATGAAAGAATATGAAAACAACTTAAACAAAATAAATAAAGAGATGCAAGATTACACAGACAAAATAGAAAGAATAACACTGGAAATTAAAAGACTTTCTGATCAAATGACTGCCTTACAAGAAGGGATTTCTAAAAATATGCTGAATACATCAACTCAATTAGAAAAGGTAAAATTTCTAATTATCTGTGTACACAATTTTACACATACTGGCCACATAACTTATTTCACATTTAATAACCTGGTTAAATCAAAACACAACTTAGTAGCATTATCGCCAGTTACACTTTGATATTATTACTAGATTTAAAACACATGTTTATGTTAGTTTTAATGTGCAGTAAATTTAAATGCATTAATTGAATCTTCTGCTCTTTAGCACAATGTGATGTACACACTACTACAACAGAGATTGATGCCTATTGACAAACTGATTCAAATCTTTAATCAGAACTTGGAAACTAGGAAAGAAAGAAAAAAAAGGGTATATGTATAGTAATTTTATTAAAAAGTAAAATGCGACGTTGATAAATCCGGTATTAAATAGTGACACTGTTAATAAACCAGTTAATAATATATATATATTATTAAATTAAGCAGGGACATTTAAAGTTATAATTTAAAGCATGATTTAAATTATTTTCTATTTTTACAAGTTGCCATACCAAAGTTAACATCATTGCAGCAATTGTATGTTATACGTAACTATGTGACTTCTTCATTCATTTTATAAAATATATATTTTAGGTGGAAAATATTGAAGATGCCATTTCAAAATTGTCCAAAGATTTGAATCATATAGGTACGTTTTTAAACAAATTATACAACCTGATAGACCATAACGTGATGTTCCTTGGGCAGACAGACCATAACGTGATTTTCGTTAGCCAGACAGACCATAACGTGTTGTTCGTTAGCCAGACAGACCATAACGTGTTGTTCGTTAGCCAGACAGACCATAACGTGATGTTCGTTAGCCAGACAAACCATAACGTGATGTTAGTTAGACAGACCATAACGTGATGTTCGTTAGCCAGACAGGCCATAACGTGATGTTCGTTAGCCAGACAGACCATAACGTGATGTTTGTTAGCCAGACAGACCAAAACGTGATGTTCGTTAGCCAGACAGACCATGATTTGATGTTCGTTAGCCAGACAGACCATCACGTGATGTTCGTTAGACAGATAGACCATAACGTGATGTTCGTTAGACAGACAGACCATAACGTGATGTTCGTTAGCCAGATCATAATGTGATGTTCGTTAGCCAGACAGACTATAACGTGATGTTCGTTAGCCAGACAGACCATCACGTGATGTTCGTTAGACAGATAGACCATAACGTGATGTTCGTTAGACAGACAGACCATAACGTGATGTTCGTTAGACAGACCATAACGTGATGTTTTTTAGCCAGACAGATCATAACGTGATGTTCGTTAGCCAGACAGATCATAACGTGATGTTCGTTAGCCAGACAGACCATAACATGATGTTCGTTAGCCAGACAGACAATAACGTGATGTTCGTTAGCCAGACAGACCATCACAAGATGTTCGTTAGCCAGACAGACCATCACGTGATGTCCGTTAGCCAGACAGATCATAACGTGATGTTAGCTAGACAGACCATAACGTGATGTTCGTTAGCCAGACAGACCATAAAATGATGTTCATTAGCTAGACAGACCATAACATGATGTTCGTTAGCCAGACAGACCCTAACGTGATGTTCGTTAGCCAGACAGACCATAACGTGATGTTCGTTAGCCAGACAGACCATAACGTGATTTTCGTTAGCCAGACAGACAATAACGTGATGTTCGTTAGCCAGACAGACCATAACGTGATGTTCGTTAGCCAGACAGACCATAACGTGATGTTCGTTAGCCAGACAGACCATAACGTGATGTTCGTTAGCCAGACAGACCATAACGTGATGTTCGTTAGCTAGACAGACCATAACGTGATGTTCGTTAGCCGGACAGACCATAACGTGATAAAGAATGGAACATTTCACTCACCCATAGTGCCAGTCTCTAGACCCGTGGGTTTCCGTCAGGTGTTTGTTTCCTCACCTGGTACATTACACCACCTTGTATGTCGGGGGTCGAACTACAGAAACACAGTAAGACATTAACAGAACCGCTGTTTGTTTTATGCTAGTTACATATTACGTGTCGTGATATACTCGTACTAATATTTGAAGTTTGTTCTAAACGTTAAACTAACCTAGGGCGATACTAAACTCATATTTGAAATGTGTAGTCTTAGATACCATTATGCAAATTTAATGGATAATTATAATCCACATTATAATTTTTGAAAATGTAAATGCACATTCTATGAATCAAATAGTCAGAGCTTGTATGAAATTACACATGTAGATCATACATATGTTTTCTAATCAACAGAGTCGCGTGTATGTAACAGATATGCTTGTTATATGGAGCTTGCTGATCACACACCTGTCAGTGCTGGATCAATTTTTTCAAGATTTAAAGAAGTACGTGAATATAACGGTCGACATTTTAATCAAACAACAGGAAAATTTGTATCACCACATGATGGTTTATATCTTGTCTGTGTAACTCTAAATGAATGGGAAGATAAACGGATTAGAGTTGGTGTGTTGGCTGGAGGCGTGTGGTGTAAGGCTATAGAAGTGAAACGTGCCAACACAAGCGCTGCTGGGTCAGTGGTTGTTGACATGAAGAAAGGTCAAGAACTTTACTTTCAAGTGTATTACGCAGATCAAGGCGCAAAGTTATCATGTTTCAGTAGTTTTTCGATCGTTAGTTTATAAAAGTACAACACAAAATATGGTGGATGGGAAATTCTCAAAATAATTAAACAAATGTAACCACCATGTTAAACACACGCTAACATGTTAATATGTATGTAGACTACATGTCTACAAAACGTGAATGGTTTATGTTATTTGTTTAGTCATCTGTACACAGTTCCATCTAAATCAATGCCATCACCATCTAGGTGTATGGTCAAAATATTGATGTTTTTAAACAGACAATGACACAAATATCTCCGACATTTTTTTTATTCTCGCATTCGCTGACAAAATTAACTAAAAGCGGCACCTTGAGGTCTATTTTATAACTTCGAATTATAGTAGATATATATTGAAAGATATTTTTAATTCATAACATAACAGAAACATAATATAGGTGAAAAAGGAACTGATTTTAAAATTTAGTTACTTAATAAAATGTTCACTTTAAGCCTCAAGTAAAGTGTTATGACGTTTGTTTGATCAGGTGTGTAAATGTGAACGAATATTGGTGCGAAAGATATAATGAACGCATGAAGATGTATTGGGGTGAGGTCGTAGTGTAGTCAAGTCTCAGTATCGTTTGTTCAAGCCGTCCTACGTATTTTATAGTGTAAAAACTATTGAAGTTAACTGCTGTCATCCTGTCCAATCATATATCTACGTTAATGTCGTCCTGTTCTATGTTGAAACTCTTGGAAAAACTACTGAATGGTTAAAGAGGAACATAATGGTATTGAGTACCTTCTCACTAGATAACTGCGGGTAACATAAACCCCAGTTATAACATAAATATCCATTGATAACATCGCGTGTGAAAGCACAAATTAAAGTAACACACACCAAGACTGAGGTCGACCGTTACCCTTGTCAGTCTTTAACATTGGAACGGTGTGGTCGTGTGGTATGTCATGTTATAACCTGAAAGTGTCGGGTTCGGATTTCGGGCTAGAGTCGACTACGTCATCTCAAATCAAGAGAGTTCTAGTGTGTACTTTAAACACTTTACAAGATTAAAATTAACATAAACACATACATGTAAATGTTATATAAAATCACCTAAAAAATTATACAGGAATGGATGTAGGGAGGGGTTTTCAACTAAAACAAATATATTTTAAATAATTATAAAATTTCAAATGAACTGAATAACGATTATGAAGTCACATAGCCTACACCTTTTAATCAATAATTGCTCTTTTTTTTAATATAAGTAAGTTTAGTTTATTTTCTTATTTTCACTTCAATTAAAAGCTTATTATTCTCGAAGGAAGAAATAATATTACAAAATATTTTGTCTACTGAACCGTGCTAATAACAAACGTATTCAACCTGTAGTAACTTCAGCTTTTGGCCTATAGTAAAATCTGCTTCTTATTAAAAGAAATTAAAATAGCAATTACCTATACAACATCATTGCACTGAAACTCGGGCATTTGTCGAATTCAGGCAATTTCCATTTGGGAAATCGGCCTTCTGGCGTCCACTGAGATTTAAAAGACAGAGATCCTAGGTTTATATTTCACCCATTTTATTTGCTTGTTATTTACTCTACGTTGACTTTGTGTAATGTAGAGAAATGTATCGCTGACATACAATAAGTTTAGTTTATAAACAGTCAATCAGCAGTCATGTACTGTTTGATTTGATCAAACCTGAACTAGAACAGATATAACTATTAAAACAATTCAATGATTGCATGATAACACGATATGATGCTACATGTTGTATTAAAGAAAGATAAATGGTTTGAAATTAAGCCAAAGAACGGATCAGTAAAAAGTACACATAAAACAGGCACCACTAAGTTGTAGCTGCAACTTGTGCTCATGACTTCACCATTGTTGATTAAGTCGAGTCACAATTTGTTAGTGTATTGGAACAAGAGTGAATAAATCAAGTGCCAAACAGCTTAGAACTTAGGATTATTCAGTCAAATGTAAGTTTACATTAAGCAAACCTAAAGTTAGTGATAGATATACTTTAGACAACTGACTTATCACAGACTAGATAGTTGAGCTAATGCACCGTAATGATACAATTATATTGATATACTGTATGTAATTATTTAAGAATAATTTAAAAACTTTTTTAAAGCCTGATTGCACTGAAAGTGCCTTTCGACTTATATACGAATATACCGTTAATGTTGAAAATTAATTGCTGAAATTAATTTACCACACCTTGGTATTACAGCTTTGTATCACAATGTGGTATCACACCTTTGTATCACAGCATGGTATCACACATTTGTATCACAGCATGGTATCACACCTTTGTATCACACCTTGTTATCACACCTTTGTATCACAGCTTGGTATCACACCTTTGTATCACAGCATGGTATCACACCTTTGTATCACAGCGTGGTATCACACCTTTGTATCACAGCTTGGTATCACACCTTTGTAACACAGCTTGGTATCACACCTTTGTAATACAGCTTGGTATCACACCTTTGTATCACAGCATGGTATCACACCTTTGTATCACACCTTGGTATCACACCTTTGTATCACAATGTTGTACCACAGCTTGGTATCACACCTTGGTATCACACCTTGGTATCACACCTTTGTATTACACCTTTGTATTACACCTTGGTATCACACCTTGGTATCACACCTTTGTTTCAAGATCTGGTATCACACCTTGTTATCACACCTTTGTATCACACCTTTGTATCACAATGTTGTATCCCACCTTGGTATCACACCTTTGTTTCACGATCTGGTATCACACCTTTGTATCACAGCTTGGCATTTTTTTGCTGTGTTGTAGCAGTCATGCGGTAAAGGGGGGGGGGGGGGGTTGGCAGTGTATATTTTCACAGATGCTAACACACACGTCTGCAAATGTTTACACTTATCTCTGCATCAACGATCGTAACAACCACGGATAAACGTCATTCTACTCCTTTTTTTAACAATGCAATTATGTTTCATGAAACAAATTATTTCAACACATCTGTCATAAGAATAAGACACAAAACATATCCACCTCTTTAACCCTTGTTTTTAAACCAAATGTCTCTGTTCTCTATGATCTATCACATTGACTTATACGACTAGCAAAAAAACATGTGATATGTGAAGATTCTATTTTTAAACCAGATGCCTACACGAATTCAGGTCAAGGTTGTTACAGAACAGATACAATATTTGGAAGAACAGATACAAGTTCTGGGACCTGTGATTGAACGTATGAAAAATGTAAGAATAAAACATTTTAAGGCTACTACTAATTTTATAACATACGAGCTGACCCGCTGCGTATCATACGCCGCTATTTAGTTGTTTTTTTTTTTCTACTTTTCAGTAATTTATAATTTGTGAATTCGACAGTACCAATGCTGCCGTTGAAAATTTTTGCTTAAAAACACTACCCCCCCCCCCCCCCCACGTGAAAGCAGCCTCCTCTTAGTTACCTCCTCTAAGTTTAAAATCGTTTCAAACTAAATTATCTGCCCCTAATAGCCGTCACCAAACCCGTCTCTATGATTGTAAAATGTAAACAGAGTGAACACCGCTCACCAGATCATGTGGGGGTGGGGTGGGGGTGGTAGTGATAGTGATAGAGAGGAAGAGAGGGGACTGCAAAGGCGCGCTTGCAGCTTGTTTTCTAACTGATCCCAGAAGAGAATTATATATATAGACGAGCCGACCCGCGGCGTATCATACGCCGCTATTTAGTTGATTTATTTTCTACTTTTCAGTAATTCATAATTTGTGAATTCGACAGTACCAATGCTGCCACTGGGTAGGGTTTTAGTGATAGTGATAGAGAGAAAGAGAGGGGACTGTAAGGAGGCGCTTGCAGCTTGTTTTCTAATGGCTCGCAGAGGAGAATTATATATATATAGATTAATGGGTACTCTTTTGAGACAACATTTTTTTTTTTAATTACACAAAACAGATTTTTGAAAAGTAAAGTAAACTTACCCTAGTATCTTGAATAAATAATATATATTGTTTTTAAATATACTATTTAGAGATTTAAAAATTATATAGGCTTACTTAGTAATATACTATTTAGAAGGTAGAAATTGTTTACGTTTGACATTTTCTCATAAAACAGCCATACACAACCTGGCCAGTTGAAATAATGTTTACGTTTGTGATCACCAGGTTGTTGCAAAAAGTAAGGCGTGGCTAGAAGAAAAAACTGACCAATCATCTGTCAGCTACATCGAGCTATCACAAGAACTGGACACAGCAGCCACGGCCTTGTTGGATGTGACGTCACATATTTTAGGTCACTTTTTAAATTCACTTTATAATTTAATATCTCAAAGCCTGCTGTCATTTAGCCTAAAAGTTTGGTGTGAGAAAAATGCAAAGAATCTCTCTTACAATTTAACTAAAACAAATGGGACATACCATTGTTAAGGGATATAATTTCACTCTCAATCCACTATCACACAACATATTATTTTTTTAGAGATTGAAATATAGAAAAAAACTAACACATTATTAACATTTATAATTTATAAAATGGTAAACATTTAGAATTTAAAATCAACTGTCGTACTTTATTTATTCATAAATAAAGTTAGAAAGAAATAACTTAATGGAATGTTAAATGATTTTTCATTAAACGCCTTGGTTAAAAATAAATGTTACACTTTCAATTTATAAATTCGGTATACACTTCTTAGTTCAATTTAAAATAAATTAGTATTTAAATATCTAGACCTGGAAAATTTAACAGAATGAAGATATTAGATGATTAAGCTAATTAGAATTTCAATAAAATTTGATTTCCTAAATTTGAAAAAAAAATTAAAACACTTTGCAGCTTACAAGAAATATATGTACAATTAAACATTATTCCTTGAACTGTAACTAAAATAAAATTCTAAACCCCAATCCACCAGACGAAGACAACAAGGATGTCAACAAACCAACGCCATCTTTACCACAGCCTGACACACAGACAACAGCAACATTTCTCACAGTGCAATCACCAAGACAACTCAAGACACAAGTTCAACACACAGCGGGTATGTCTTGGTTTTGTTTGATATAACAAATTAAATAGCGATATCATGAATATACCGTATGCAATGTTAAAGATTAAACTATTTTTTCTGTTACTTTTTAAATATTTTTATTAACGTTTCTACGTTTAACGCTGTTCTAAGGAACCTATTTATCAAGGTTCCAGACATTTTAAATTATAAACTGAATATTTGTGACTATCCACAGCTGAAGAACATCCTGACCTAGAGCGTAGACTCGCCTATATTGAAACAACACTATCTTCACTACAGGACACACAACACAAGTCTACAGATGACATATCAGAAATAAAACAATGGAGAGACAACTTTGTAACAGAACAGAGTGACATGGGGGTAAAGATTGAACAACTGACTAAAAAACAAA